TGGATTAACATCAATGGCAAGACCCATTGCTTTTACGTGGCCGATAAGGCACATCCTCATTCTACTTCGATTTATGAGTTGCTTGGTGATCTTATATTTATAATGAAAGGAGATGGTCATCCAATTGATTTTGAAGAGTTGATACCGATTACTCGTTGCTAATTGAAGTGCACCTCTGCAGTCATTGCGGCTGCCTCGTCCATGGCCCGTGGATATGATTTCAGCAATCACGATCAAAGCTTGACGGATCCATCACCTATTGCTAGAAAGATCGGACCGTTTCAGGTTGGTCTTATGGCCTATTGTTCTAGTAATTATTTATTTTCTTTAATGAAGGATAATAATTATAGAATGGTGATATCCTTAGTGTATGCAGTCTATCATCCATTTCCCCTTTTTTATCTGCATAAGTTTCATTTTTCCTTGAGTCTCATAAGTTACAAATTCATTTCATCTGCACATCGTGCTAAATCCATGGTGAGCCTCAATCCGATGCATACACCGTCACCGTCGAGACAAAAAAGATGAACTGATTGCAGCAACAACCTCATGATCTACCTTTGGTACGGGGTTTCGAGATACCTAAGCTCGGTTGGTACCACAAGCCGATTACCGAGCAGTAAAGCTCAGAAAGAAATAGGTTCCACATTTCAACTGAATTGTTCCAAAGTAATGCATATGCCGATCTCCTTCGAGTCAGAGCTCAAAACAAAAGAAACATAATGTTCAAAAACAAGACCTTGCTGTATGTTGAAAGATGGGACTTCAACTATCCGGTATTTTTCGTTTTCAGTTACTTCTGTGCTCGGGTTCTTTCTTGTCGGTACAGCTTCACCCCCATCAGGACATCAAGAGTGGGATCGACATATTCTTCGCTTCTCACTTTCTTCACTGAAGGTTGGCTTTCGACCGCCACCGGCGATCCAGGCCGCTCCAGCGCCGTCGAAAGGCTAACCTGGACCACTCCCTGTTATAATGTGAAACATCAAAATTCAAATATCGAATCCTATACAAAACTCTAAGGTCTTTATTTTATCAAACCAACTAAATATTGGTATCTAATATATATATATATATATATATTATCTCTTTCTAACTATTTTGATCAATCAAGAAAATCATGTGAGAAAGCAGCCTTTTTTTCTGATTCCTTTTTGTAATTTATTTTACCTAGGTGTATAATTTATATTTTTTTTTACTTTTTATAATTCCATTTTAAACACGTTTGTAAATATAATAATATAAAATAAAAAGTAAGATAAATTATTGACAAATGCAGGTCATCATTAATCAATGAATATAATAAACATTGGCTGCTAAGTGCTCCGCTCACTATGCAATGATATCATTTCCTGTTTTATTTTATATTTTCAAAGAAATATTACTTGATATAAAAGAAATAATAAACTGAATACATATTAAATATATATATATATGATAGAAAAATATATTTTATAAATTAGGACAAAAAGCAATGTGGAAGCATATCAATAGTATTTCTAATAAAAAAAACTATGTAGTCGCCTATAAATTAAGACAACAAAAATTTAATTTTTTTTGAATTAATCATTGATATCTGATTTATTGATCGACTAATCTCGATCGTGTACTACAGAGGCGAGGGCGACCCTCCCAACCCAGTATGCTCAATTCGCAAACGACATAATACAAACCCCTGACATTGCTTAAGGGTCATGATGTCTCATCCCACTAGACCAACTGGTTGTTGGTAAATTTTTAAATATATTTAAAAAACACACTTGGTATAACTTTTAAATATCATTTGAGGAATTATTTTCTTTACTAGTTATGCATCAAACAATAAACCTAAAGAAACACATCTAAATCTAGTTTATAAACTATAAACCCTAAATCTATCTTATAAGACCTAAACCCTAAACCTAAATTAACATGTGAAATAATATTTTTAAATTTAACAAGGATAATATCTTTTGGATGTCTTCAAATTATGATCATGTTTTAAATTAGTTCCTAAAATTAAATATATATATATCAACCACTAGACCATGACCTCTTTTTAAATTAGTCCATAAGGTTAGATTCATAATTGCTATAAATATTTTAAAATTTACGAACTAATTTAGAACGAGGTCATAGATCTCTGAACAGTTCTCTTTTAGTTATTAATATTTCTTTTCTTTAGTATATATAATTTAAAAACATGCTTATATAAGATTAAAAAATAATGTTTCTCTCGAGCAGCCACGATGCGTATCTCTTATTAATAAATTAAGAAAATTTTGAATATGTATAAATTATTAGTAAAAGTCGTTTATGCAATACATTTGAACACAATTAATACAATATTTTTAATAGTGTATTTAACCATAATTAATACGGTATTTTTAAACCGCATATTTAAATGCATATAAAATTTTAATGCCATAAATAAAAAATAAAAATAGTAAAACCTAGTACTTCGACGGTCAAATACGTAAATGCAATGAAACGGAAAATATTTCTGTCGTTTAACCTAAAGTAGAAAGTGCATGTTTATTTTGTTTAATTTTCAACACGCTTTCCTTTTATACAACTTTCTAATATAATTAGATAGCTTTTTATTGGTAAAAACACCCAACTTTCTATAATTTATATTATTCTATAAATTGTTAATAAATTATGTTGATTGACTGTGTCATAATTTATTACATATTTAATATATTGAATATTGATATTGTAAAATTATAGGAAAATTCTACAACGCTCGACGAGCACCGATGAACACCACTAACGATGAGAACCATTAATTTAATTTATAAAAATTTAAAATTCTAAAATACTCAACGTATAATTATAAATTAGTTAAAATTTTAAAGATAAATTGTATAAAATAAAGAGTAAATTATATCGGTGACCACTTAACTATTACCCTTTTTCATTTTTAACCACCATTTTTAAAATTATGTCAATCATGTCACTCAGCTATTTAAATGTATTCGATCAAGCCACTTGCTGTTAATATTTAACCATGATTATCAAAACTGGACCGGACGGTTCAACCGGTTGAACCGTGAACCGGTGGCCTGTCCGGTCCGGTTACCTCACAAAATCGGTCTGGCAATGAACCGACTGAAAACCGGGGTGAACCGGCTGAAAACCGGCAAAATCGGTTTGAATTGCCGGTTCACTTTTTTCTTTTTTTTTAAAAAATTAAACCAAACAACGTCGTTTGTTCAATGAGACAAGTCAAATTCGAGTATTGTTGAGCTCGACTCGAACTTGAAAACTTTAAAAGTAAGCTCAACTCAACTCAAAAACTCACGAGCTAAAAATTATCAAGTTTAACTTGAACTCGAAATATAATATTAAAACTTGAACTCGAAAAGGCTCGAACTCAAAAAAAAATTAGAAGTTCGATTGAAGCCTAAAATTTGAGCTCAATTGAAGCGAAAGAATAGTTCCCTTTGTGCTCACCAAAAGACTCCATGATTTTGAATGTCAAATTACCTCTATTATTTATAGAAGTAAGTTGGGATGCTCTTCTATGTTTCTTAGTCATGTGAGATTATTTTTTTTTTGATTAAACCAAATGACATTATTTGTTATGATTTTTTTAAGTCCCAATTTTATTTTTTGATTATAATTATATAATTATATTTATTATTTAATATGTTTTACCTTAAATATTATGTTGTAATTTATTTGAATTATTTTGTTTCACTTGATTTTATGGTTTTTAATTTATATATGTTATGACTTGTGATATTTTTATACCTTTTAATATTGTAAACTTAAAAAAAAGTGTTACATATATATTAATATTGCTTTGAATATTATGTAAAATTTAAAAAAATTATTTTATATAAAATCAGGTTCAACTGCGGTTGAACCCGGTTAAACCAGTACCTTCACCGGTTCAATGTCCGGTCCGGTTTTAAAAACATTGTATTTAACAGAGAAACTGACGTGACAGTTAAAATATTTGGTATAATTACATATTTGGTCATTGTTATTTATATATTCTATCAATTTGGTACTAATTTTAAGAAACTGAAATAAACATAACCCTCAAATCAAATGGTGTCATGTGTCACTGGTGTCGAGTGTAATGACATGTGTCACCACTCGGTTGGACGATTAAATTTATTTTAATCTAATATATTTTCTCACCAATCAGAGGGTGACACGTACACTATAAATGAAAGAAAATTTTGGGCAGTTAAATGATACCCAGGGGAATCGAACATAAGGTTCTTGGGTTAAAGAAACAGGGCTCTACTATTAGGTCAAAGATCAAATCTTATCGTTATGAATAAAACAAATTGAATTATTATATATGATTCCATGATAGATCTTACAAGATCTAAATTAATTAATCAATAGATTTAATATTAATGATTAAAAAAATATTTTAAGGTTTAAATATAAATTTCCTATATGACCTCTTAAAAGGTCTTAATCATTTTTTAATCCACTTGCAAGCTATAAATTATTGACCGTGTGTAAATATAAACCCTAAAGAAATTCTTTATATACGTAAATGCAAACAAAATTTTCAATTAACAAAGAAAGAAAGAAAGAATATCCCGTCTGATCCTCATTTATGAACACAATATTATAAAGGGCAAAGTAACTAGAAGTTATTGAATTTTATTCAAATGATTATTTTAGTCATTAGATTTTTAAAATTTATAAAATAATCACTAAATTTTATCAAACCGCTATAAAATATCGTCGAATTGTTAAACCTTTAAAATTATTAGAACAATACCAGAATGATTGCTTTATATGAATTTGATTAATTTAATAATTAAAATAATTATTTGAATATAAGAATTTGATTAATTTAATAATTAAAATAATCATTTGAATACAGTTTAGTGACCAAAATAATCATACATATAAATATATTCTTTTCAAATAATATTTTTATAAATATTTCATAAAATATTACCGTACATGTAAAAGTAGATGAAAAAATGATTTGAAAAGTCTTCCTTTTGTCCAAGGTCTTTCTATATAAACTATCTTCGCTTATTCCACGCTGCGCCAATAACTTTCCTTCACCTTTATTTCCTCCCATTTCCTTCTTTAATATCTCCGGCAATGGGAAGTTGTTCAGCGGACTTAGCTCCTCTCCTCGGCGCCAACGCCACTGGCGCCGCCGAATATATATGCAACAAGTTCACCGACGCCTCTTACGCAGTCGACAACACTTACCTTCTCTTCTCAGCATACCTCGTCTTCTCCATGCAACTCGGCTTCGCCATGCTCTGTGCCGGCTCAGTCCGAGCCAAAAACACCATGAATATCATGTTAACCAACGTCCTCGATGCGGCCACCGGCGGCCTGTTTTACTACCTTTTCGGCTTCGCCTTTGCCTTCGGCAAACCTTCTAATGGCTTCATCGGCCGCCATAACTTCGCCTTGGGATCGATCCCTTCGACTTCCTATGATTACAGCTACTTCCTTTATCAATGGGCTTTTGCCATTGCGGCGGCGGGAATTACCAGTGGTTCCATTGCTGAAAGAACCCAGTTTGTTGCTTATCTTATATACTCATCGTTTTTGACCGGTTTCGTTTATCCCGTTGTTTCTCATTGGTTTTGGGCGTCTGATGGTTGGGCCAGTGCTCTTCGAACCGATGGTGATTTCCTTTTCGGTAGCGGCGTCATCGATTTCGCGGGCTCCGGAGTTGTTCATATCGTCGGAGGTGTCGCCGGTTTATGGGGTGCTCTTATTGAAGGGCCGAGGATCGGCCGGTTCGATCATTCGGGCAGATCGGTAGCTTTGCGGGGTCATAGTGCGACTCTTGTTGTTCTTGGAACTTTCATGCTTTGGTTCGGTTGGTACGGGTTCAACCCCGGTTCGTTTAACAAAATCTCGACTTTTTACACTTCCGGGAACTATTACGGCCAGTGGAGCGGGGTGGGAAGAACGGCGGTCACCACCACTTTAGCCGGATGCACGGCGGCGTTGACTACCCTTTTCGGAAAAAGGATCTTGACCGGCCATTGGAACGTGACGGATGTCTGCAACGGTTTACTCGGCGGCTTCGCCGCCATCACCGCGGGCTGCTCCGTCGTCGAACCATGGGCCGCCATCATTTGCGGTTTCGTCGCGGCCTTAGTTCTAATCGGATGCAACAAACTCGCCGAGAAAGTCGAGTTCGACGATCCGCTGGAGGCCGCCCAGTTGCACGGCGGATGCGGCGCTTGGGGCGTCCTGTTCACCGGCTTATTCGCGTCGGAGAAGTACGTGAGGGAAGTCTACTCCACCAGACCGACTCATTACGGACTGTTCATGGGCGGCGGCGGTAGGCTGCTGGCGGCGCAAGTGATCCAGATCCTGGTCATCGTCGGCTGGGTGAGCGCCACAATGGGAACTCTGTTTTACCTCCTCCATAAATTCGGCCTATTGAGAATCTCTGCCGACGACGAAATGGCCGGCATGGATTTAACCCGGCACGGCGGACTCGCATATGTATACCACGATGAAGATGAATCCCAGAACCAAGGCATTCAAATGAGGAAGATCGACAGCTATCCAACTCCTCCCGGAGTCTAAAAGTTACCTACTTCTTTAGATCTTCTAGATATCTATGGTGGAATTAGTCCACGTAAAATTTTATTTTTAAATCTTAGGTTGAAAGGATTTGTAAAGCGGTAATGGTTTGTGCTTGGATTTTCAAGTGATGGTAACGTTGAAAAATTTGGTTTTGTGTTCGGCGAACAAAGTCGTTTGGCTCTTTAGTCTTCTCTCTTTCATGTGAAATGATATGGTTCACTCCATTCATTGATTGAGATTTTGGGTAAATTATTGTGCTGTTAAATGTTTAGTGGTAAAATCAAACTATTTTAAAATTTTGTGATCAAATTGATATACAAACTAAAGTTTAGTGAATAATATGATGATTTACCCATTTTTTATTATTTATTTTATGTCATTTGTTCTCATATTTAAAATATTTTTTAATAAAAAAATGACAACTGTTTACAGTCTATTTCAATCAAAATATTCGTATCTAGCTACATTCCATGGACATTTTAATATTAAAATATTATTTAAAAAGATTTTAATTTATTTTAAAAATCAAATATATTCACATGGTTGATTTCATTATTTATTTATTTATTTATTTATTTATTTGAAATGGGTGGTTGCTCTTCTTTAAGTATGGCAAGGATAGAATCTCGTGAATTGTGATACCAATACTGTCCCTAGAATATTGGAACTGGTCCCCCATCCCCTTTACTATTTTCTAGAAATTTGTGAAAAATCAATTAAAAATATTAAAATAATAATGATAAATCACATAAATACCATCGTATACAAATTGTTTTATTTTATATTATTAATCCATCAAAAATAAATAAATACAAAAATATATTTGATAAATATGATATAAATACACGATTTTATGAAATAAACAAATTAATCCAACACCACTCATCACCTTATCTCTTCGGAGTCAAGCTAGTTGCTGGCCGACTAAGAACTCCACAATCTAATTTGGTCAAAAAGTCAAATAATTTCATTGTTTTTTTATTCAATCTAAATTAGTTCTGGTTTAAGACAACCTTAATATACGATTAAGAAAAGATCATATCGAAAATATTAATATTTTTTAACATTTTCGATAAAGTGTTACGTAAAACATTATTTTTTTTATCGAAAATGTTAATTTCGGTAACTAATTTTCGATAGAACCCAATATCAATATTTTCGGTAAAAAAATAATGTTTTAGGTAGCGCTTTACCGAAAATGTTAAACATTTTAGGTAGCGTCCAATATTAACATTTTCGGTAACGCATTTCCTTAGCCTTATATTATGGTTGTCGTACATGAGACATCCCCATCTAAGTATTTTCGCGCATATTATATAGATAAATTTTTTCGAGCTGAAATTATCTTAAGTTTAATAATTTCATTGTTTTGTTGTAATACTTTATTACAATTATAAATATAAAAACTGTTATTAAAACCTTTTAATTACATATTTAATAGAACTTATTGAGTTGTCTTAGTGGTAAAAGAATGTTATTTTTTAGAGGTCCCGAATTTAAGCAATTTTGTCTACAGAGATTGTATACATTATCAATGACTAGAAAAGATTCTGAACATATAATATATTATAATTATCTTATACTATTAAAAAGCGTATGTTGAATAAATTATGAATAAATTATTTCTATTGTAATATATCCGGGCTTGATTCATAAATCACTCAATTAGTAAGATTATAAACGAGTCATTGAATTTCAAAATGTTGTAAACAAGTCACTTAATTATTCGATTGCTACAGAGATGTTACTTTACTGTTAAAAATGAAATAGGCATCAATATTTTAGTTACAAATAGATCACTCAATTGTAGCCTGTAGGCAAAAAGTCAACATTTGTTATACATTCTACGATTGAGTGACATATTTGTAACAATTAATTAATCGGTTGACATATGTGTAACTTTTTAAAATTTAATTACTTATTTATATCCTTACTAACAATTGAGTGACCGTGATGTATTTTACCCTTGGATTTAGTGGGAAATTGAATGGTAAACGTTTCCATTTAAGTCTAGGAAGGCTGGCTGGTCAAAATTAAGGCTTACAACTAAAGCAAAAGGAAACAGGCAAGTGGTTTGTTACACATCAAAGTCATCAATGGTTTTGTTTTTTTTTTATGACTTGAAAAATATTTTATTGACATAAAAAATTGATATCTTTTTTTATTTATCATAAATTCATTAGGTATAATGGTATGGTATATTATAATCTTTTTAAAAAAATGTTCGAATTTTAAAGACAACATTAAAAAAAGTCATAAATTAAGAACATAAATCGTAAAACGCATATGAAAGATAATCATATTTAGGGATAATTTAACGGGTTATGATTTGATTTCATCTTATAGTGTTATTTTTTTAAAAAAAGAAAAGAAATTTAGATTCAGATCAAGTCGGGTTTGAGTTTATGATATAAAATCTTCAACTCGTTCTTATCTGAGATAATAGTATAATTTTCTTTTATATATTTAAGGATGATTACAATAATATATTATTTTATATATATTTTTCAATTAATTCTCTATGTTATCGAATAAAAAAATGTATACATATAGTCATATCGAGTCGAGTGCTTGTGCGAACTTAACCCTAAAATTGGATCGAGTTTCAAGTCAGTTGAGTCTCCTTAAGTTCAGATCAAGTCAGGTAATGAGTGAAGGGGTATAATACTCGAGTTGAGTCATGACTAAGAAAAAAAAAAGCTTTCACACTTCAAAAGAAATATTACAAGTAGAATGCTGAATAATGAACAAAGTGGTTTTAACTAGAAAAGTAAACTTTCTTTATTTAGTCAAAGCACTATAAATATTATACCAACAACCCGTCGATATAGCAGAATGAAGTATTAGATTTCTTAAATAATCTTAGGAGTTCGAATAACGATTACAAATAAAAAAAACACTATAGATATTATGTTAGTTTACACATCATCTTATATACTAGGCTAATAAAAATCAGTTTATTCAATGATAAAAGATAATATTATGTTTATATGATATGTATATTTCAAAATAGGTTGAGAAAAAATATGAATATACACTATCTTGTAATTGTATGTTATATGAATAGTTGAAATCATTATATATATATATATATTATTTATAAAATTTATTTTTTAAAATTATTATAAGTAACAATAAATTTAAATCATTTTATTTAAAAAGTATATAAAAGTAAAAATATTTAATAATAATCTTAAAATTTATTTTTAAAATGTTCAACTCTAAGTATAATTTTTAGGTGTGGACCCGAATTTAAAAATCTTTGTCTGAAACTTGGCTTTATATAAAATTTATACAGGTTAACGACAAATATTCATTCTAAATTGGCTGCTGCTATATTTACATAGAAAGTACAGCTTTCAGTGCCCATTTCGTCAACGATGGGCCCTAAATTGCAATATTTTTTTGTTAGACTTAATATTAATATATATATATATATATATATATATATATATAAATATTTTTTAATAGTACGAGGTGATTATAAATCAACTTAAGTTCATAATTTTTCTTAATCATCGACATTATCTATATATACTATATATATGTAATTATTCGAATTCGAGACTTTAAAAATATACAATATTTTGTTTAATAATTGAGGTCACTCAATAGATTCAAAGTATATCATATTTTTTGTTTAAATAGTCAAAGTAGGAATGGTTACGAGATCTGAACGTGAGCAGTTCTAACATGATTCTAAAAAGATAGTATTCACGCGGACGTGTCGAAGACACGTATTACCACGACCACGACCACGACCACGACAACGACAACGACAACGACCCGACCCGACCCGACACGGACGGCGGCGCGCGAGAGTCTCCCTTGTTCTCTATCACTCAACAAGGAAGTGGGAAAGCCAAGCCTTAAATACAATTCCCAATAGTGTTTCCAATACTATGTGGGATTGAGCATTACCAACACTTGTTTCTAATACAATGTGATTATTCAGGAAACAATTAACAATCATGCACCTTAAAACAACTGAATCAGCAACCAATTGCATTAGTATTATACGATTAAATATGTCATAATTAAATGTCAATCTACAATCAATCGCGATTATTGCAATTTTAAGCAAAACATTCAAAAATAATATTACTATTTAAGACTCAATCCCACATAGTATTGGGAACAAGTGTTGGTAATGCTCAATCCCACATAGTATTGGAAACACTATTGGGAATGGTATTTAAGGCTTGGCTTTCCTACTTCCTTGTTCAGTGATAGAGAACAAGGGGGACTCTTGCGCGCCGCCGCCGTCCGTCTCGTCTCGTCTCGGGTCGGGTCGTGGTCGTGGTAATACGTGTCTTCGACACGTCCGCGAGAAAATTCTTAAGAAACAAATGCAATAAGTTCGTTGCGACGCGAATTTGGAATAAATCGCAACGCGAACTTCGACTATCGCAACGAATTTGGAATAAATCGCTCGACTATCGCAACGAACTTGGAATAAATCGCAACGCGAACTTGGACTATCACAATGCGAATCTGGAAATTGATTTGCGATAACGGAGATCGCGTTACGAATTATCGATCGCATTGTGATTTAGTTGGTCATTTTGGCAAATCCAAAAAAAGTTGGTTAAAATCATATATTATAAGACATTTTTTGTCACTGAAGTTATTTTATCTTATATAAATACTTGTGTTGGATCGGATACAAGTTTGAATCGCCAAAAGATCTGGCCTGATGCGAGTAACAGGTTGGGTTTTGTGACAATGAAAAGGTATAATACTAAGGTCAACTATAATTCGACCACAATCCGTCTCGACTCGATTCATGCGGATACTATATTTTTAGAGAAAATTTTTAAGAAACAAATGCATTGCAATTTTCGACTATCGCGTTGCGAATTTGTTGGTCATTTTGACAAATCAAAAAAAATTAATTAAAATCGTATATTATAAGGCATTTTCGGTCACTGAGATTATTTTCTCTATACTCTATATACCTAATTAAAAAAATTTAAACCTTGATTATGATTATTTTAAAAATTAAATTTTATCAAATATATATTTTAAAACTATTTGATTAAAGATTTCTAAAATATAGTTTTTGATATTTTTATCAATAATAAAATTTAAATAACAACGAATCAATGTCAAAAAAATTTGATAAAAAAATTCAATAAAAGACAATTCAAGTGAGACAAAGGGAGTAATTGTTTTGAACTCGAAAATTTTGATTAAAAAATTGACATTGAGCCAATTTGATTTAAATTTTTTTTAATTAAATAAACAATAACTTATTTAATTTAATATCATAATTCTAGTAGTTTATATACTATCTTATTTTACATATCTTTATCTTACTTATATATATTATCGTAATTATATTAGGTCGAGACATTTTTTCCAAATTTGAAAATGACTTGATTCGAATAAATTTAAAATTTTGTCTAACTCATGAATCCGCTTACGAATTAATGATTTTAAATGTATTATTAAAAATAAAAATAAAAATAATTATATGAATTTATAAAAATAAACATATAATGTTATGTGCACAAAAAATATATAAAAAACAAAAAATATTTAATCAAAACATATAATATCTTTTAGGCTTAATATAAAAATAAGTGTATAAACTATATATCGAAAAACGTTTTAGTGTATAAAGATTTTTGGCTAAAAATAAGTGCCTAAAGTTTTATTCGTTATACTTTTATGCGCTTACCATTAAAATAAAGTTTTATTCGTTACACGTGTCGCTTAACGTTTTTTAACGGTAGGTACATGTATACACCAATTTTCGTCCATTTTTTTTATTTATATATATATATATATATATATATATATTATAGTTTGAAATTATTTTGAAAAATTATATAATATATGGGTTTTTTAAATGTTTTGAAAATATATATTATATCGTTTTGAAAACTTTTTTTAAAAAATATATATAATATATAGTTTTAAAAACATTTTTGAAAAAAATATATATCATATAGTTTGAAAATTAGTTTTTAAAATATATATATTATATGGTTTTGAAAATTATTTTTTAAAACATATATTGTATAGTTTTAAAAATGTTTTTAATTTATTTATTTATCTATTTATTTATTTATTTATTTTATTTTATTTCATTTATTATTTATTTATTTATTTTATTGTTGTTTGTTTCAGGTCCAAAATGGGGTCCAAACAATCAAAGAAACGGGCCTGAACCAGCCTAATGAAATAGTGCAGTAATAATGTTTAGGGTTGGAAACCCTAAAATGATGCCAGCCCACAGCTCCGAATGAGAGAGTTATACAGTCAAAGGGAAAACCAGGACTGCACTATCCCGGGATTCCCGACCACGTGAAGCAACGATAGGCCCGAAAGGTACGGGAACGACCCCATTATCACCAGAAACAGCCCGTGGAGGGCGGAGCAAATAACATCAGTGGTGGGTATAAATACCCACCAAGCCACACCGGAAAGGGGAGGACTCCCGAGCATCAAGTATCACTGAGAACATCAACCAAACACACGGCCAACAGAAAATCAGAGTACATCAACGGAGAAAAACTGAACACAAACAGTACACCAAAGATCCAACACCACCGAAACCCACAACATCACGAAAAACCATCGATCGGGAATGACCGAGCCACAAAAAATACCAACAACAGTACCATCGACGAAAAATAAAGATCCATCGAACACAAGCACATAATCATCATCAAAACCACAGTGAAACAAAAACCCATCAAAACCACAGTGAAACAAAAACCCATTAAACACAGTCGAAACCAAAAGGAAAACAACAACCAAACCATTTCAAAACACACATGCAAAAGGAGTAAGAGCAGTAAACAATCAAAGCGTCGGAGCAGAAGGAGCAACCGGGAAATCAAACGGTCAAAAAAAAAGAGAGGTAAAAACCCGAAGGTTATTTCATAGATCTACGCCGGCGAGGACATTGTTTGGGTGTTTGGAGGTTAGTTTTGGGTTCGTGAGGCCGAAGGGGTTATTTCGAGCTAGGTCAGTTTTGCCCGGTCGAGGCGGTGGTCGGAGCAGTTAGGGGCCATCGGACTAGTGGCCAGTATTTGGTCGGGGATGCTCTAGCTGAGAGAGTTTTCTCTCGTATGGGAGAGGGTTTTGTGAGTGAATGGTGAGAATGAATGCGAAAATGGGTCTTTTGGACCTTTTATATACGGGGGACCTTTTAAATTCGTTTTAAAGTGGTCGGTGGCGACTCCAATTCATTTAATCCAAGTCGGAGCCCAATTCTGGACCCAACCGAAAGACGGTTCCGACAATACCTAAAAGTGTAACGGAGAAAACTTTAAACACATACTTATTTTTATATTAAGCTTAAATTTTATATGCAAATTTGTAAATAACCCCAACCACCCTAAAGTCTTGATATCAAAATTCTCTTACCAAGTAGGAAACGTTGCGTTTTTGAAGGATTTGTTCTAGCACGTAAACGGCATCGTTTCGATGCTAAACATCCTCCATATAAACTAGGGGACTAGGGGTGATATTTCCATCTAAAACAATAACAATTCGAAGAAAGAAATCCCTAGAATCTGAAAAAAGGGGGGAAAAGATGAGGCCGATGCCGATGGAATACGTGACGGACCCGGACGATCAAGGTTCGGCCATGGAAGTCGACGACGTCGACTCACTCGATATCTTAGGTGATGGCGTAATCGGGAACGACAACAAGCTCGCCGATGCCGATTTCTTCAACAACTTCGAAGACGATTTCGATGACTCCGATATTAACTGAAAACAAATAAGAAGAATCCCTTGAAGTACACATCTATCTTCCCCCTCTTTCTCTGTTTGTGTGTTGCTTTTTAGGGTTTAAATTCTCCTACTATTTGTTAAATTTGGATTTGAACCATGGATGCTAATCGTATGCGAATCGTAAAAGTGTAGTGTGTAAACTTTCATCAGTATAATAATGGCTATAATTTTCCTCTTAATTCGATTTTCTTTCATGGCTTAAAGTCGCCTGCCAGTGAACCGAACAGTGAAAACAATTATTCACGTCCTATGAACACCGATATGTTAATGAAAAACTTTAATAGTGAGACGTATTGAGGTATCAACAAAGAGGTTCTTCAATCTCTTGTTGGATGTATTTACATAAGTTTTAATTTAATTATACACATTCTTTGACCTGGCCAGTGTTGATGAAGCTTTTTCATTTGATCACCATTTTTGTTTGCAACAACACTAAAGAAAATCTACATGTTTAGTTATTTTCCCCTTGTTTTGAAGAAACAATTAAATATTGAAATAATTTACCATTACCTTTGAATTTGAATTGTTATTGAAAGATTAATTCAAAAATATCGTTTTTCGGAACGTCTCTCTCAAATCATTTCCCGGAGAAGACAAAAACGATGTACGGGTACGAGCGTGCGAGTCGAACAGACACCGGCAAGGCGGAGCGTTTTGATCTAGAGTCAGGGGAGACTCCTTACCCGGGACTCGGCTATGGCGAGAATGCGCTCTGGTGGGGCTTTATCCGCAAGGTTTACGGCATTCTGGCGGCACAGCTGCTGCTGACTACCGTGGTCTCCGCCTTCCTTGTATTGTCATCTCCGATCAATGACCTCCTCCGTGGAAACTCTGGCCTCTTGCTCTTCATCTGTTTAATCCCCATCATCGTTATATTCCTTCCCGAAATAGGGCATCGGATAGCTATAGTGTTTGTTTTGTGATCGCCTTTTTTGTTTGGTTTATGTTTTGTATTTGTTATGGTTCCGTAAAGCTTTAGATTTGACAGTGCTTTGTAATTTTGTGAACAATTGTTGGTAACCTTAATAAATTTTTTTTTAAACTCTTTTCCACCTTCCGTTATCAAAGTTCTCTTTGATAAAAATAATTTTTTAATGAGGTTGTATTTTTTATAAAAAAAATAGAGAATACAAAAAGTACAAATATATAATATCACATATATCCTAAAATTCGATATAGATACCAAAACTTGATATATCCCAAAACACTCTTCTAACATCTTCAAAAAATTACAGAAATCTCAAAAATATTGCATATCTCTAAAATAATTCTCTCACGTTATCCTAAAAGTTAAGACACGATCTCTATTTATAGAGCCCACAAAAAATTCTTATTCTATATGAATTCCTACTTAAGATAAATATTTACTTTATTAAATAAAGTCAATTACTAAGAAATCTTCAACTATTAGAATTACAATAAACTCTAATTTAATTACTAATTATAATTTAAGTCAAAATATGACAAAATGAATAAAAAATTTATACTAACAAGTTTTGGGCAAACAATAAAATAAATTACACTCTAAGATTTTATTTGGTATGAAATATCGAAACGAGAAATAATGAAAAATATGTTGATTAAATGGTTGTTATAGTTTACCCAAAAAAACAATTGTTATATATTCAAATATCTTTGATTATATTTGTATATATCTAAATGACATATCAGTAAAATAACAAAATTTTAACTATCAAATCTTCTTAAACTAATTAACATATAAATTATCATGACCCTAATCAAAATTATGAAACATGAGAAAATATGAATAAATAAATAAGTAATTTATCTTAAAATTAATAGAAAATCATATCTAGATTTTGAGTAAACACATTTCGAAAATTAAAATAATAATCAGATTGTATATATATATATATATATATATATATATATATATATATATATATATATATATATATATATATATATATATATATATATATATATATATATAATTAATTATAAAATGAGTGTCCAAACTATACCGCTTTTCCTAAATAGGCGTCTAAACTTTTTTTTGAATCATTCAGGTACCTAATGTTACAAATTTATCACTTTAGGTGCACAGGTTGTAATTGCCGTTAAATTCTACCGTTAAGTGACATGTCTTACGTTCTAGTAGTTTTAAAAATTTTACTTAAATTAAAAAAATAAAATTATATATTTTTAGAGAAAAACCCAAAAATTTTGAAAGACTTAAAAATATTTCAAAACTTTGAAAATTATAATTTCAATCCTTAAACTCATGTCAACCATCATGTTTGACGTCGATTGGATATCCACCAGAACCTCTATCCTAAGACGAGCCAAACCTAACCATAAACGTCGTGTCTTCAACAAAGAAAACGACAAAATCGAGATCCAAATCTATGTCTCCGGTGAATTCAAACCTTCAAATTAGTGAAACCCAAGCAATCCAACGATGCGCACGACAACTAGGGGTGTAAACGAGCCGAGTCGAGCTCGAGTATTGCTGAGCTCGACTCGAAAACTTTGAAATGGAGCTCGACTCGACTCGGAAACTCTTTCAAGCTCGACTCGAACTCGAAATCCTGAACTGAAGCTCGTGAGCAGCTCGAAAAGGCTCGAAATGAAAAAAAAATCTTAAACTTAACTCTATTGAAGCCTCAAACTCAAACTCGAACATGAACCTTAAATACATGAAATCTTACTATATTTTTAAAAAAAATCAATACATAAATATTAATATTTGTTAGGATTTTCGGAAGCTCAAATCGACAACTGAAACGGTTTACAAAGAGGGGTCGGAACGATTTTGTGTTTAGGGAGTAAGGAGATTGAAAGATAGAGAATTGCACAGCGATTTATAGTGGTTCGACTTTCTCAACCAAAGTCTACGTCCACTACCTTAGCTCCTCACCAAGGATTTTCAAGGAGTAGGACTTTTGGCATTTCCGAGCTACTGCAAATGTAAGTTGGAGTATCAGCAGAATCTTAAAAACAAGGGCTGAAGCTTTTCCAATTTTTTCAGCCGGTTCACCGCATATTAGGGAAATTTGGGATTTGGTTCGATTCAAAGGGCAAAATGTTTCATGGCATAAACTTATTTGGTTTCCATTGCATATTCCAAAGTTTAGCTTGATAACTTGGATGGCATTACTGAACAAATTGCCTACTAGAGACCGCCTACTTCGAATGGGAATTACCACAGACAATCTTTGTGTTAATTGTTGCAACTCTTACGAGACAAGGGACCATCTCTTTTCGCAATGTTCTCTAGCAGTGGAACTCTGGTATTCAATTTTGAATCTTAATGGGATGAAGATCACTTACTTATCATGGGATGAAATGGTTTCAAAGGCATGTTCATCATGGAAAGGGAAGTCTCTTCTTACTTCCATCTTGAAAATTTCCTGGACTGCTTTTATTTACTCTCTGTGGCAAGAAAGAAACCAGAGAATATTCCAAGGACGTCGTAGAACGATTGATTGCTTGCTCAAAGATGTTAAAGACGTTGTTGGAATCCGCCTTAGGGGAACAAATATTAATAGACTAGAGAGTACTAACCTAATACTTTGTAATGCTTGGGGTATAGTCTAACCAATCATTTTGTAGGCTGTAATTTTGATTCTTTCATTGTTGATTGGTGGATGGTTGTAACTAAACCTTGATTTGGGTAATAAAATCAGAATTATCCAAAAAAAAAGAGTAACCTTACAAACTCCTTAGTTTTCCGGGCTAAACTAGAACATTTCCCTAGCTTTTACACGGGATTAGCTAGAACCTATCCCCTTTACAAAAGGATAAGAAATGTAAACAAGAAAACCTCTCTAAGGTAGGTGTTTACAAGATTGAGCTCACAAGAACAAAATATATACAAGAGAAAGATGAAATAAGAATAAAAAACTCTTCTCTTGTGTTTGATTGATTGGATAGTTGTTCTCTTTTTACTTCTTCAAGTGTCCTTAGCTTGTATTTATAGCTTGGAATGTGTTTGAAGTCATATCTAGCCGTTGGGGATATTTTGGAGCCGTTTGAGAATGATTTTTCTGCAAAAATAGGCTGCCCAGAATGGGGGGAATCGGTACCCCTTCATAGGGAATCGATACCCCTTCATAATATTCAAATATTATGACCGTTGGGCTGATGAACAGTGAGGGAATCGGTACCCTCAAGGGGCGAATCAGTTCACTTCGAGTAATCTGTTATTTCTCGGAGCCAAACCATGTAGGGGGAATCTGTTCTCGGGGAATCGATACCCCTTGGGGGGAATCTGTACCCCCTGGACAATATGATTTTTCTTGAAACCCTTAAAAAAAGAATATTTTTGGCTCGATTAAGGCTCGAAATACTTTGTAAAATTGTTTTAAAATAGTTTACGTATAAAACACTATTTTACACTTTAGTAAGGATTAAAATGAACTTTGAAAGACTTCGAGTAATATTTTGATATTCGAATAATTACATTGAATATACTTAGAAAATCTTTTGTAAAATCTTAAAATTCATTTAACTTAATTTGTTATATCGAAACATCAAAATGTTTTCAACAATCTCCCCCTTTTTGATATAACAAAACATTTGAGTAATTTTAAGATTTTGAAATAAAGTTTGAAATTACTCCCCCTTACTTTAACACTTCTTCCCTTTAACACCTTAACACTTCTTCTCATTTTTGTTAAATCAAAAAGACTCTAATCTTTGAAGTTCAAAATAACTTTGGAGAGTAAGTAGTAAATTTGACATTTTAAAAATCATTTGAAAAAATCAAAGCTCCCCCTTAATAAATGCATTCCAAATAAAATTTAGCTTTAAGAACAAGACACTTAAACAAAATTGAATTTCAACAAAGAATAACAAACATGTTAGTAGAAAATGAAATTCAATATATCTAAGACTAAAATACTTTATGCAATACCAATTGTTGAAATTTGATATCAATATCAATTGTTAAAATTAAGTGCATATGCATAAAGTTTTCCAAAAATGTTATGCATTTGAAAATTTTGATATCAATTGTTAGAGAGATATCATTTTCATTTAAACCACATGCATAAACATTCAAATTTAGGTCAAAAAATTTTAAAATTTGTAAAATCAAATTATTTGAAAAATTGATATCAATTGTTAGAGAGATATCAATTGCATTAAAACCAATTTTGACCAAAATTTTATTATGATGAACTAAAAATTATTAAAAATTAATATAACTTTAAAATGTTCGTCATAATCATCTTTTCAACATAAATGAGATTAAAACAATGATGCATAATCATTTAAAACAAAACTCATACATGCTTAAAATCAAATGAGAACCAAATAACCAAAATTAAAAGCATTAAGCTTAGAGGTTACCCATTCCTTTTTCATGTGTGGCTAGAGCATCTTGAATATCATCACTCTCATCACCATTGCTCCCACACACTTACAAGAGACATTTAAGTAGATTTTGGTATCCAAATTGCTTTGGATCCTTGGACGTTAGTTTCAATGCCCCTTGTTCCTTTCGGAACTCATACTTGCCTAATTTTAAAACATTTTCCTTTCTTCAAAGGACAAGTATGTTCCAAATGACCATGATAATGACAATGTGAGCATATTGTCATTATTGAACTAAATGAATTATTTAAAATGATTTCTTTTTCTTTTGTTAAGCATTCAAGCTTAACTTTTAAATCAAAATTTTGTTTTTCAAAACTATCAATTTTTATTTTTGAAAGCTCTAAATCCTTTTTCAAAATTTAATTTTGGCTTTCAAAATCTATTTTTGTTTTCAAAATAAAATCGTTTTCAATTTTAAATTTTGAAATCATTTTTTTTATATTTGGAGTTCATGGTCTCAAACTCCGAATATAACCTATGAAAACATCTTGTAACTCATCAAACGTATACGAATTAAATTCATTTGAGTTAGAAGATACATCGGGCTCTTCATAAGCCATTAGATACACCACATTTGTTGGTTCTTCTTTCTTGTTTCCATGGATTTCCTCGAGCTTATTTCAAAGCTTCTTGGCACTTGAACATGAAGAAACCCCTTCATATATTTCAGGACCAAATGCACAAAACAACATGTGCATGGCCTTGGCATTAAGTTGAGCTTTCTTCCGTTCTTGTCACTCCACTTCTTCTCCTTCTTCTTTGGAGAAGAGTAGTCATTCTTGATTATCTCCCATACATCAAGATCATTTGATTGGATGAATACCATCATTAATTTCTTCCAATGATGATAGTTGACTCCATTGAAGTATGGATGTTTGTCGGTTGGTAGGGAGTCTTCCATGTTGAACGAGCCGGAGGTGGAAGCCATCTTCTCGGTTGTGTAGGGAATTGGTAGAGCTTCTTCTAGGATCGTCTCAAGGTGGTTAAACCTTCTTAACGAGTTAGGCTCTGATACCAATTGTTAGTATTTTCGGAAGCTCAAATCGACAATCGAAACGGTTTGCAAAGAGGGGTCGGAACGATTTTATGTTTAGGGAGTAAGGAGATTGAAAGATAGAGAATTGCACAATGATTTATAGTGGTTCGACTTTCTCAACCAAAGTCTACGTCCACTACCTTAGCTCCTCACCAAGGATTTTCTAACAAATTCACTAATTTGTTCTTTCTTTTGAGGATAAAGAGTAACCTTACAAACTCCCTAGTTTTCCAAGCTAAACTAGAACCTTTCCCTAGCTTTTACACGGGATTAGTTATAACCTTTCTCCTTTATAAAAGGATAAGAAATGTAAACAAGAAAACCTCTCTAAGGTAGGTGTTTACAAGATTGAGCTCACAAGAACAAAATATATACAAGAGAAAGATGAAATAAGAATGAAAAACTCTTCTCTTGTGTTTGATTGCTTGGATAGTTGTTCTCTTTTTACTTCTTCAAGTGCCCTTAGCTTGTATTTATAGCTTGGAATGTGTTTGAAGTCATATCTAGCCCTTGGGGATGTTTTGGAGCCATTTGGGAATGATTTTTCTGCAAAAATAAGCTGCCCATAATGGGGGGAATCGATACCCCTTCATAGGGAATCGATACCCCTTCATAATATTCAAATATTATGACCGTTGGACTGATGAACAGTGAGGGAATCGGTACCCTCAAGGGGGGAATCGGTTCCATTTGAGTAATCTGTTATTTCTCGGAGCCAAACCATGTAGGGGGAATCTGTACCCCCTGGGGGGGGAATCTGTACCCCTGGACAATCTGATTTTTCTTGAAACCCTTAAAAAATATTTTTGACTCGATTAAGACTCGAAATACTTTGTAAAATTGTTTTAAAATAGTTTAAGTATAAAACACAATTTTACACTTTAGTAAGGATTAAAATGAACTTTGAAAGACTTGGAGTAATATTTTGATATTCAAATAATTACATCGAATATACTTAGAAAATCTTTTGTAAAATCTTAAAATTCATTTAACTTAATTTGTTATATCGAAACATCAAAATGTTTTCAACATTATTATTATTAATTTATTTTTTTTAAATAAAATCTTAATATATTATATTTTCGAGCTGCTCACGAGCTTTTCAAGTCGAATATCAAGTAGCTCGTTTCAGCTCGTTAAGAACTCGAGTCGAGTCCATTCGATCCGAGTATTTATCGAGCCTTGATCGAGTCGATCTCGAATAGCTCGTTATTTGTCTCGTCTCATTTACAGCCCTAACGACAACAAGTAAGATAACAACCAACTAGGGAGATGACAAAGGCAACATCAGCGACGACAACCATGGCCGACAACAGAGGTTAAAGTTAATGTTAGGGTTAGAGATTTGAGATTTTTATAGATTTAGGATTTTTTTGTAATTTTAGAAAAAATATGGTTTTTTTATAAATATAATATATTTTTTATTTTTCTATTTTTTTAAATTATCAAAGTGTGACACGTGTCACTTAACTAAATTTATTAACGATTGTTACGTCTCGAGAACCTAAAATAGTAATGTTTGTAATGTTAGGAATCGGGTGATTAAAAAAAAGTTTTGGCACATATTTTGGAAAAGTTGTATAATTTGTACACATTTTATAATTAAGCCTTTTATTTATTGTATTTTCTTTGGGGTAAATTAAAAATTTCATTATTAAACTTTACTTTCTCTCCTATTTTGCTTATTAAACTTTAAAAGTTTTCAATTTCTTCACTGAACTTAATACATTAGATTTTTTTGTCACTCCGTCGTTATATAGTTAACAACGTTAAATCGATTTCATTTCAAAAAATATTTTTTTTTTACCAAAACTATGTCATTTTGCATCTATATAAACGCCTATTTATATAACAATCTATTTATAACTCCATTAGTAAGGAAAAGATGATGAGTGACAAAAAAATCACAATGTATTAAATTCAATGAGAGAATTAAAAAAAAAAGTACAATGAGTAAAATAGGAGAGAGAAAATAAAGCTTAGTGACCAAATTTGTAGTTTACCCTAAAAAGCTAAACTCCGCCATGCACACACGTCGCGCGCATCGATTTTCTCCATCTTTTTCTGATTCTCTCACGCTTGGAAGTTGAACATCTTTTGAAGCTAAACAAATTCGCATTCCCCAGTTTCAGGGTTCACGCTTCTTTTTTTGTTAATTTCTACTCAATCTCCCCCCTTTAATGGCTCCCTTTCATTTCCTTCCTGAGCTGTTGATATTGTTTTTTGTCAAGAAATCCCTTTTCGCCTTGAATTAAAGAAGGAATCCTCTAAATCCTAAAAAGGATTTATTCTTTTCCCTAAATTTGATATAGGGTTTCTCTTCTTCTTTTTTTGCTGCTTGTGAAGGGGTTTATTCTTCTTTTTTGTCTTTAAAAACCCCCACCCTCTTGTTTGCACTGCGCCGTAAAATTTAATATTTTTCCCCATCTTTCATGATCAAATTTCCTGTTAAAATGCCCAGAATGTTAGCTTCAAGAAAAACCATTTCTCCATTTTCACCTAAAATCGCATAGTTCTCTCCATCACAAATCCAGTTTCTTTCAGGCCTTTTATCAAACACTTGAGCTACATTTTTTTAGAAAGGATTTTTTTATGCTCTTTCTAAATTGTGTTTCGAAATCATGGGTCGTGTTATGGGAAAGTGTTGTAACAGATATCCGTCAACCCCAGATGAGGATTCAGGTCACCATAGAGGAATAAAACCTTACAATAGCAAACACATCCTTACAAAGAGTTCATTGGAGCTGGTTCATGTTGCATCTCACAACTTCTCTTTGCATTACTCGAGCTTAACACAACATGGTTATTACCCAGACGCGGCTGAGAGGAAAAACCAAGATAGTTTCTGCATCAAGACACATATTCAAGGTAACCCGAATGTTCATTTCTTTGGTGTGTTTGATGGACATGGTGAATACGGTGCTGAATGTTCGAATTTTGTTAAGGATAGACTTGTAGAAATATTATCCAGTGACCCCACATTGTTGGACGATCCTTTAAAAGCTTACAATTCTGCGTTTTTAGCTACGAATTCTGAGTTGCATAATAGTGAGATAGATGATGTTTTGAGTGGTACCACAGCCATAACTGTACTTGTTGTTGGGGATATTCTTTATGTTGCTAATGTGGGTGATTCGAGGGCTGTGATTGCTGTTAACGATGGGGACCGTATTGTGGCTGAGGATTTATCTATGGATCAAACACCGTTTAGGAAAGATGAATATGATCGGGTGAAACTTTATGGGGCCCGTGTTTTGGATATCGAACAAGTGGAAGGCCTTAAAGACCCAAATATTCAACATTGGGGCGATGAAGAAAGTAACGATGGTGATCCTCCAAGGTTGTGGGTTCCGAATGGAATGTATCCTGGGACTGCATTTACAAGAAGTGTAGGAGATAGCACAGCAGAGAATATCGGTGTGACTGCAGTTCCTGAGATTTCAATTGTTCGCCTTACACCTAGTCATCTTTTCTTTGTTGTTGCAAGTGATGGAGTTTTTCAGTTTCTCTCTAGCCAAACTGTTGTCAACATGGTATGATGCAGATCCTTGTGATTTATTATTGATCCTTTTCCCATTTGCTTATAATGTTTTGGTCAATCCATGGATACATCATTTGTATGTTGACATTCAATTGCATGCTGATATGAGATATATTTGCTTTTGATTAGAAGGCTACTGCTGAAGTTTCTAATACGTTAGATTTCATTGCATGTTTATTGTTTGTGAAACGATGTTTATTGCTAAAGTTGCTTTTCTCAGCTGTAGCAATATATCGTACCTGCTGGTTATGCAGGATATTTGTCGTACTTTCTGCATTTGATTAACAAATTTATAATATTGTTTAATATAGGCTGCAGAATACAAAGATCCCAGGGATGCTTGTGCTGCAATTGCTGGAGAATCGTATAAACTTTGGTTGGAGCGTGAAAATCGAACTGATGATATTACAATCGTCATTGTACAGATCAAAGGCTTGTCTAATGTATGAACTATTTAAATATTTCTCTGGCTATTTGTGTTCTCAATATTTTAAACTACGGTTTCTGCTTTATGGCCGTCTCCTGAAGCTGTATTCTTTCTTAGAAGTGAGTGAACATCTTTTAGAATTGTGCGGTAGAAATTCCCACTTTGTAACTTAATTCGAAGCAACTTGTCTAATTAGCCTGGTTGAATTACTACTGCGAGCCATATAATCTTTCTTGATTTAGAAGGGAAAACACTTGTCGATTAATTTGCTTATTATTCCTTGCAGTTGGTATATCTCGTACATTTGTACTTGCAAACCTAATAGAAAATTTTAGGGAAGTTCTAATCTGAAGAACCTTTTGTCATCACAGTAAAGATTCTGTGTAATCCCTTTTTGCATTGTGATTAACTAATCTTCTTTGGAATCCTGCAGTCAGGTATTGCTGCCACAGATGGTGACGTAAATTACATGCCCAGGTCAGTTGAGAGAAATCTTGATTTTTCCTGTGAACCAGAAACCTATGGTTCAGTAAGACACGACTTGTCATGTATTCAGCAGTCCTGCTAGCATGGTGGTTCAATTAGTCGAAGCTCTGCTATTGTTGTTCCATCACCAATGCATCAGGGGCTTTGGAATTGGTTGGCCACTCAAGCTTTAGTTTTGAATCTAAGTTTATATGTATATATTTATACACCCACACACCCACACGAGCCATCAGATTAGTAGATTTGCCATAAGCTGCCTCATTTGCAAACGTAACACGCAGCGAGAACCGGTTTTTGATAGTCACTCGTCTTACTATCAGACTAGAGAATGAAGACACATTTCGTATTTCTTCAATATAGTTGTCCAAGTCTGAACTGACAGTTTTGTTTTGGCTGGAATCAGGATGCGGGTTAGCCGAAAGGAGCAAAGGGGAATTGTTTTTCGCATTCAAGATTCTCTTTGGCGAATTGTTTCGAGGCTGAGGGACATCTTGCTAATGAGGCCGACTATATCTTTGTTAAACATCATGAAATTTGTCAAGGTAAAGTACTTCAGCTCTGATCTTGCACCTGTTTATCCAAAGCATGTCAAGAAATGAATCCACTTTCGTCGGATTCGGAGAAACCCCATCAGCAAGTTTGAAGCTGATTATCGTAACTAACTCGATGGAACCGGTTCCGGGGATTAGGAAATTGTGTTCGTTCTTTCTATGTCAAATACCTTCATATTGTTAAGCTGCCACCATGGATTCTGTAAATTTCATGAATCGACTGCAGCTTCGGTTAAATGGTAAATACACATTTATTTGAAGAAAAATGAGAGGAAAACAAATGAAACAGCGAAAGGAAGAGTAAAAAATAGTTGAATGAGACGAGAAGTAAAATTAGAGGTTTGAATTTTAATATTGTAAATAAAATAAATTAGATTAAAAAAATTAAATTTCGATGATTAATTAAATTAATTTTGTTTAAAATGACAAAACACTCAATACTTCATGTATGTTTTATTGGTGTTATGATATTATTCTATTGATGTGACTGTCGATGCTATTATTTATAATTTTATAATTTATCATTTTAATAATTTTAAAATAATTTATTGTCATAGAATATCACATCAATAACGAAGTATATATGGGTTTATTTTGGAATACCGAACTCACACATTAACATTATAAAAATGTAATATTTTCATTAAAATAAGAGTAGAGTATTTACATTTAAAATAGTTTTAAGTTAGATTTACGGATATTTAGGAACTTGAACAAGAGCTCTCTAGGGATTGGCAAAAATATTCGAATTCGATGAGAAAAATAAAAAATCGAATTAAAAATGGGATGGAGAAAAATTGTTTATGCTAAACGGAGACGGAGATGGGAAAAAACCGTTTATGCTAAACGGGGACAGGTTTAGTAATCTCCGTCCCGATTACCCTACTACTCGGTCCGATAAATATTAAAAATAATTATTATATATATAATATTAATAGATTTAATTTAAATTAAAAAAATATTTATATAATATTTATATATTTAATTTAAATATATATATCTGGCCCGATACCCGTTTAAATAACCGTTTATGCTAAACGGGGATACATATTTTCCCACGGTTTTCCCCGATTACCCGATGAGGATCCCGTTTAAATCCTCGCTGCGGGACGGGTACGGTTTTTTTTAAACGGGACGGCCATCCCTAGAGCTCTCTCGGTTGAGACTGAAGACTGACTCTTCAAAAATCACTGCACTTCGAAGGGGCATCGATGGAAGCTGTGTTGAAAGATTTACGGATAACAAACATAGCGCGACTAGGACGGAATCTCAAACCCCTCTTATATCAGAAGCGGCGACGGATTTCCAGGACATCTCCTGTAAAGGAGGCGTGAAAAGTGAACGTGAATGCGTGATGCGTCTGTCGGAGGACATGTCCATGGTTTTCATCCCCTGCGCGCACCAGATCAATTGCACTACGTGCAATGAGCTCCACGAGAAACAAGGGATGGAGGACTGTCCTTCTTGTCGGAGTCTTATCCAGCGCCGCATTCCGGTCCGGTATGCTCGGTCGTAATCTTAATATTCGAAGCGATTCGAGCGAGTGTTCTGAATAATGTCTGTGGGAACTCTGTGGCTTGAATAATACATTTGAGAGTTGAGAACAGTTGAAAGTTGCATTTACAGTGCAAGATGATGCTTCGTTTCAGCTTCATCCTTATTGAAAGCGATGATATAAGGCTCAATTAGTCCAATATAACATTTTAAAATATTAAAAAAATCTTTTTTATATTGAAAATTATATATGTTTAATCAAACATAAATAAATAAAATTATTATTACAGAGAAGTTGTAGGAGGCTGCTCTGGAAATATTAAATATTAGATTTATATAACAAATTGTATTAAAGATTTTAAACCATTGACAATAAACGTTCAATCACCTCTACAAATGCTGCTGTTCGAATTCAAAATCTATAGAAACAACAATTATTTTTTAATCATTGAGATAATTTGGTTTGTACAAATATAAAAAATACTAAAAAATAATTTTGAATTCCACACATATATACCATGCAATAGGAAAATATTGAGTGCATGCCATTCAGGGGTTGTTTGGTTTAGGTAATCTGGGATTACCGAAGGAATGAAATGTCATTCTCCCGTTTGGTTGGCCAATATTCCCAGCCCCCGGTAATCTTTTATTACCAACAATGATATTTTGAGGGTATATTACCGGGAATGTGATTACCTCCCTTTCTTTAGGTATTGATAGATTATCGGCGTTTTGGACTAAAATGCCCTTAATGTTTTTTTCAAAAATATCATTTTTCTGTCGTTGAATAAAAAAATCTACGAAGGTTAAATTACAAATTTATCCTTAAACTATTTTATATTTACAAAAAAAATCCATAATTAGAATTTTATATGAAGTTCAGGGGTTAAAATAAAATTTTACCCTTTCATTAAACCTATTTATCTGTTCAATTTTGTAAAAAATATATATATATAAATTTATGAATTTAAATTTTTTAAAGAAAATATATAAATTAATTATAGTAGAATTCAACTTGTTAAAAATATATATATAATAAGAACAATTTGGTAAAATATACATTCTAATAAAATACAACATTCTCAGTAATCTTATTCCCGCAGGTAATCATATTCCAACTGATAATCTTATATTCTATAAACCAAACGCACCCTCATTGTAATTCACCATTAATTTTATAGGGTAAAATTAACAAATGGTCATTAAACTATATCAAAATTATCCTTTTGAACATTTAACTTTTAAAAGTTACATAATGAATATTAAATTTTAATTTTGTTACAAAATAGGAACAAAACCATTAAGAAATATCTTTTTTTGACCCTTCAATAACTAAAATTTAATTTTACTCTTAATTTTAATTGAAATAATTATTATTAGGTTCGTTGAATTGAAAATAAAATAGATATAGATAAAATAAATATCATATTTTAATTTTCTATTATAAATATTAAATTTGTACCATATAAATTAAAAATTATTTGATATGATATTATAAAATTATGGATGTATGATTTTTAAATTACACTTAAATTTGTTAAATAAAAGTTAAATACTTAAATCGTATCATTAATAAAAAAATAATTTTATTATTTGATAATATAAATTTTCAGACGTCAAAAAATTATAAATTTTTTATTTTAAAAATACAAAAAAAATCAAATAAGTAATTAGTTATAAATAATTTTTTCTTAATAAAAAATTAATTTCATTGTTTGATAACTGAATTTTTTGAATTTTTTTAAATTTTGAAAATAATTTATTTTCATATAATCTTAAAAAAGTCTAAAAATTCTATTTTTTTTAGAATTGCTACTTAAAAATGTTGAAAAATATTAAAGTGAAACTTTAGTTATAATTGAGAGGATAAATAAGATATTTTTCATTAATTTAGTGTGTTATTCAACCCTTATTAGCATTTAACGATTGTTATTTATATTTTTAACAAAATTCAAAATTTAATGTCTATTTTGTAAATTTTAAAAATTCAATGATTAATAGAATCAATTTAAAAATTTTGTGACTATTTATAAATTTTACCCTATTTATATTAGTAATGTATTTCAATACATGTCATTAGTGATGCATTTCAATAAATGTAGACTCTTCTCCGTACAATATAATTAGGAAAATTCTAGAATGCATGTCATTCATTGCAATTCACCACTAATTTTATAAGGTAAAATTTACAAATGGCCATTAAACTATGTAAAAATTACCCTTTTGAACATTTACCTTTTAAAAGTTACATAATGTATATTAAATTTTAATATTGTTACAAAATGGGCACAAAATTTTTAAGAAGTATCTCATTTGACCCTTCAATTATAACTATAATTTAATTTTACTCTTAATTCCAATTGAAATAATTCTTATTAGTCTCGTTTAATTGAAAATAAAATAGATATAGATAAATATCATCTTTTAATTTTATATTATAAATGTTAAATTTATACCATATAAATTAAAAATTATTTTATATGATATTATAAAATTATTGATGTATGAATTTTAAATTATATTTAAATTTGTTAAATAAAAGTTAAATGCTTAAATCACATCTTTAATAAAAAATTTACTATTTTTTTTATAAATAATTTAGTATATTATTCACCCCTTAATAATATTTAACGATTATTATTTATTTTTTAACAAAATTCAAAGTTTAACGTTTATTATGTAACTTTTAGAAATTCAATCAGAAATAAAATTAATTTAAGAAATTTTATGACTATTTATGAATTTTACCTTATTTTATATTAGTGATATACTTCAATATATATTATTAATGATGTATTTAAATAAATATTACTCATTATTGACTCGTCCATATAATTAAATTATTTAATAATAAAAAGCAACCACTCAGCTGATCAAATAAACTTTTTGTCTTTTGCCTATCCGTCAAGATTTAAGAACAGAAACAAAGCTACGTGTTTTTGTTTTTATCCACAATTGCCAAATATTTTTCATAAAATAAATATTCATGTAATATAGAAAAGGTAAATTCGTAAATAGTCCGTAGACTGTGGTTCTCGTATCATTTTGGTCACTAAAGGTCCAAGAATTATAAAGTTGTCATAATAATAATAATGATGAAATTTGATAAATTTATTCTGTATTTTAAATCAAATTGATAAATTTAATTATAATTTTATGATTATTATTTTCAAATATTTTGATAAATATAATGATCATTTTGTAACTACTAATAATTTAGTGAACCAAAAATATAAAATAATAGTATAGGGAGCAATGCTTTGCTTTAACCAAACATAAAACCAGCCATTAAAGTTTTAAAAATAGAACTATAGAATACAATAAAGTAAGATTGGAGAGAGAACAACGATGTTGGCTGAAGAATCGGACGGATCAACTTCAACCTTCGATCTTCCGGATGAAATCTTACGAGTCTTACCCTCCGATCCTTTCGAACAACTCGACGTTGCTTGTAAGATCACTTCCATTGCACTCTCCACTCGTCTCTCTTCACTCGAAGCCGAGTCTTCTTCCCTTCAATTCAAACTCGCCGAGAAAGACCAAAAAATCGCCCATCTTCATGCCCAGATCGAAGCCCTCGATGCTTCCTTGTCTCAAACCTCGGAGAAACTCGTCCTAGCCGATGTGGAAAAGGTCAATTGGTTTCTTCTTTTTGGGAGAAAAGAAAATGAATGATTGACTTATTGTTTTGTTTTTTTGCAGGAGAGTTTGCTGAATGATAACGCTTCGCTTGCTAATATTGTAAAGAAGCTTCAGAGGGATGTTTCCAAGGTACGATATTTATGGGGTTTTGAATTTTGGTTGATTTGTTGACTGAAGTTGGTAACTGTTTTAGTTTCGAATTAATTTTGGGTTAATTACTGTCTTTTGATTTCTTAATAGCTGAGTATTTGTCTATGAATTGTAATTAAGTTCTAAGTATTGTTAATTGGACTTGATTAATTAAGAGGGAGTGTTGCAATTTGAGTGCTAAATTGGAAGTGGAATAGAGTAAACAGTAAGTAAACGGAAGTATATTCATGTGTGTGTTTAGAGGTGTAAGTGAATAGAGCGTTCGGTAAATTGATCGTGAATCGTTGGTATAATATCCGTTTATGTTCGTTATTAAGTTAAATAAACTAGTACGAATAAATTTTTTTATGTTAAATTTAATAAACGAAAGAACACTAAACAAATGTGTTCGGCTTGTTTATTTTTATGAATAAGTTTGTTTAAAAACTCGTTTATCGACTCGCTTACCTGGTTCTCTTTTCCCTTTCATTTTTTTACACTTTAAATATTAGTAAATTTAGGAACTAAATTAAACACAAGGTGAACTTTAGAGTTCAAACTGTGAAGCCTAAAGAGTTTAAGGACTAGTTACATAATTTCACCATTTTTTGGCCTGCAAATAAAAGAGTTAAAAGAGAGTGTTGAAGAAAATACAAATAAACATGTTTGCAAACGTTAAATGAACATGTTTTGAATGTTAAACGTTAAACGAATCAAACATGAACATCTTCAAAAGTAAACAAACGAACACGGACTTGTTTGTTCAAGCCTGATTCACTTACACTCCTATGCATGTATAATGACTGTCTAACATGATTATCATGATTGATTTAGAATATTTTTCAGTTCTGGATTTTGTGTTTATGGTACCAAAAATGATGAGAGTTTGGAAAACTTGACCATACCCTTCATCTCTGAATCTGAAAGCAGATAGGGCCGATGTGGTTCGAGCTAAACGGTGTTACGAAAATGGAAAGTAGCGTAGGATTGTTTTATTAGACAATGTAGTCTGAGCCTTCACTGTTCTGTAATCTTGCAGTTGGAGGTCTTTAGAAAGAAGCTTATGCAGTCGCTTCAAGAGGATGAAGAAAGTTCAGTTGGAGGTCCTCGTATCGTTGCGAAACTAACTCCACCGGGTACGGTTTTCTTTTTTCCATGTTCACCGAGTCGAATTCATTCGAACTTCATTTGTGAGATGCATCATTTGTTGTTCAGAGCATGAGCATTTTTCCTTTTCTTATGATATAACTTCGTTTGTTTCGACGTCTTCAGAAGACGATGCGACCGTTCCTTCAAGAAATTCTTTCGAGGAGGAGCATGATGCAGACGGTATGCTTTGCACTCCATCGGTTTTGGCAGGCCAGCCGGTTTTATTCGTTAATAAGATGCTATAAATCTATGTTGCTTCAATTCTTCTGCATTTTTTGAAGTTTTCTGCTTCTACATTTATTGATGCTCGAACAAGCATATGCCGGTATCATGAAAAGTTGCAGAACGTTTGCAGTCTATTATTCTTACAAAGTACCATTATAATGGCAGCCTCGAGACCTGACAGACCTCAGCTGCTAGCATCACAAACAAGCACTCCTCGGCTAACTCCTCCGGCTTCCCCATCGAGTCTCTCAGCTTCTGCTTCTCCAACAAGAACATCGAAGCCAGTGTCCCCTAGGAGACATTCGGTTTCGTTTTCTACCTCGAGAGGCATGTTTGATGATAGGCCGTCGATACGGAGCTCCGATTCTGGATCACAGACTGGTTAGCTTCAAAGCTTGTTCTAAAAGAAGACCTTCATTTAAACTATAATTACTTGTAGGTTTGATTGCAATACGAACTGCTGACAAAGAATTCTAAAAGTTAACCCGTTTCGACTTCTTTCCGGATACTTTTCAGGACGCACTCGGGTCGATGGAAAAGAATTCTTCCGCCAAGCCAGGTAAAGCAGAATCAACTTATCTGATTATATAGCAGATTTAACTTGTTTTACAAGACAAACTAAGCAAATGTAATCAATTACTCTCGGTTTGTTCTTGCTTCTTAATTCATATTACCAGTTTCGAAGTTTTGCTTGCACCTTACGAAATTGCCTATCTCATTCGTATTCATCAGGAACCGGTTGTCTTACGAGCAGTTCAGCGCATTCCTGGGAAATGTTAAAGAATTGAATTCCCACAAGCAAACCAGAGAAGTATGCAATCCTTGTCTGAATATTTTCTCTTCTTTGTTTTATCAGTTTCTCATTGTGACATTTCCATCTCGTTGTTTATCCGAATAATCCAGGAGACTTTAAGGAAAGCAAACGAGATTTTCGGCCCCGATAACCGAGATCTTTATGCAATATTCGAGGGTCTGATTAATCGCAACCTCCATTAAATCAACTGAAAGCTAAAACAGCACCCACGGTTTGTAATCATCTGTTCTTCCTCTTTGTGATTTATATGACAACTTTTGGTGTAAAGTTGCTTTATAAAGCTTCAAACTCTATATAATGTATATGTAGATACTCTTTGAACTTTTATCTCTATTTGAAGCATAGTTTTAATGAATTTTTACTATGAAGAATAAGATCACAAACAAAGCTACTGCAGAAACATGAAACTAAGGGTAGGTTTGTTTTACGTAAAACATTTATCGGAAAATGTTTTCCTCATTTTCCAATGTTCGATTGGAGGAAAATTGGTTGGTCAACGTAAAACATTTTCCTAGTCAACAGAATTTCTTGTGTTTTCTGAAAAATGACTTACGGTCTGATTTTCCGTAAATCATTTTCCGAATTTTTCACTTCAAAAAATAAATATTCAAAATAATTTTATTTTATGAATTTAATATTAATAAAATATTTTAATATTATTTTAATCAAAATATTAATTATTAAAATATTTAAAATATATTTTTTTAATGTTTCTAATAATATAGCATTATATTTTTAATATTATAATAAAATAATCAATTATATAATAATAATATAAGATATTATATTTTTATTTTTAATAATATATAATAAATTATTAATAAAATTTATATTATTTATTAATTTCATAGAAATAATATTATTAAATTATTAATAATGAATAATATTATTTATATATTTAATATTAATATAATAATATAATAATATTTTAATAAAGATATTTAAAATATATTAATTAATATTTTAAAAATATAATATAACACTATTACTTTAACAAATAATTAATATAATTTATAATATTTTTATTTCAATAAAATATACTAATATTAATATTTTTATTAATAAAATTATAAAAACAATATTTTAATAATAAATAAATTATATTAATATTTTAAAAATATTAATATAAAATATTATGATAAATAATATTATTTATTGTATTTAATATTTGTAATAAATAATTTTTAAAAAATTATCAACTAGTAGAAAAAAGGTTTAAACATCATCTTCCAAACATCGTAAAATATTTTTCAGAAAATATAATTCATTTTACGGAAAACATTTTCCGGAAAAATGTTTTCAATGAAACAAACGAATACTAAGTTGTTTGCATAAACCTGGGATCGAAAACTGCTGTTTGGTTATGTCCGTAATCACAATAAACATGAGACTTTACCATATGGTGATATCTATGAGGAGTTTGCTTCAAAGTGTATAGCTCAACAATAGGTGCTTGATTAACTGAGCTTCGGGTGTTCTCGAACAGAGCAATCGATGTAAGGTATCGGCGAACTGACTTTAAGCCGAGTACTAAGTGGAATGAATGTGATCTATATTCGATTTTCGAGTCAAATTTTATTTACCTCTACTTATATCTGATCTATATTCAAAGATGAGTACAAGAATATGATTTTCCAAGTGAAAATGTTATCATGTACTTGTGTGCCTCAAAAGTACAGATTTGGCTATATATAGAGGTGTTTAATGAGTTGAGCAGTTTACGAGCTGTTTGAACTCAATTCAGTCAAAATTTGGTCAAAGTTTGACTTGAGTTGACTCGTAGGTTTGTTTATGAGATTTTGGGGGTCCTTGGATGCATAAAAAAATTAGGGCCCTTAATTAGAGATTTAAATTATAGTTTGCATTTGTGTCTTCGATCACATTCTATTTTTCGTTATTGCAGACATAACAGATGATATTGTGTCACTGCAAGTATCATGGTTCTAAATTTTTAACAACACATGATATTTTGGGCATAACAGTTATGAATATCACGATTTTGGAAGATGTCGTTGCCACTATGTTGAACCTATTTTGATATAACAATTTCAAGGCTAAATGCTTTTAGACTTGATTGAATTTGTTTAAAGTTGTCAAAAATAATACAAAGTTCATTAAACAAAAATTTGAACACAAAAACAGTTTTCTGAGTAAGCGGAACCGATATTGTTCTTACAATATCGATACCGCATGAACAATATCGTTATTGTTCTTGAAGTATTGGTACAAAAGGTAAGAGATGTATTGATACTCTCAAGGAAGTACTGATATTACCTGTTGTTTTCAAAGGTGTTCAGATTACAATAGGAAATTTTGATACTGATACTACTTTACAGTAGTATCGATACAATGAACCCGAGTACCAATACTCTTGCAACCCAACAGTCATTAACAACTATTTCATTTAAAAGTTATTAGGAAAATATCGGTACTCCTACCCGAGTACCGATAATCCCTGTTTTAGGTAGTTTTATTTTGCTGCAATTAAACCCCCAATGATTAGAAATGACTACAAACTCATTTTAACATATAAAAATAATTTGAGGATACTTGAAGCATGTTACAACACATATCCAAGCAATCCATATCAAGAGAAAAACTATTTCAATCTTATTTTCTTTTCTCTTGCATATAGTGTGTGTTTTGTAAGCTCAATTGTGTAAACACCTACCTTATGAGGCCTTCTTGTTTACAATCTTTTTATCGTTTTGTAAAAGAAATTTGATTCTATCTTAGCCATTGAAAAAATAATGATTTATAAGGGATACTCTTGAGCCTAGAAAAGAAAGAATAAATCAGTGAATTTGTTAAAAATTCTTAGTGTGGAGCTAAGGTAGTGGATGTAGACTTCATTGAGAAAGTTGAACCACTCTAAATCTAAAACTTGTGCATTTTTTTATCCTTTCTCTCCACATCTCCATTTTTTTCATTTGACCAATTCACCCCTTCTTGACTAAATTCGGTTGTTCAAAAGGCTTCAAAAATCTTAACACACTACATAATGGTCGTTGTTGTGGTTGCAGACTATTATTTAAGTAGTTGTTTCTAATAACAAATGTTGACAAAAATAAATTTTAAGGGCAGCTTCATAACAATAAGTTTTGAAAAAATTGATCCCTAATAACAAATATTAAAAATAAGTAAATTTTAATAGTATGCTCATAATACCAAATATTAAAAAAATACTGAAAAAATTGGACTCACAATAATAACAAATACGTATTAAAAAAATTAAATTTTAAAAGTATATACCTAATAACAAATATGGATTATTTAATTCTATATTTCTTATATTCTTCCTTTTTTTATGAATAACACATTACCTAAACTATTCATAATCTTCCTAAATTTGTATATTTGAATTAGTTATACTTTTTTAATACTCTATGATAATTGTAAGATAATATCTATTTAAAAAAATTAACTATTGACAATACACATACCATATAAATATAGCTACTCAAACCCGAGATTTCTAGAGAAAACGTCACTCTCTTCTACAATTGAAGTTGTTTAATGGATTCTGAATTAACTATACTTAATACATTCAAAATCAAATTCTCTAATAATATCAATCGAGTTAAGATCAAATAAACCTACAAAACACCCTTTATCTAATTTTCTTCAAATTTTACATTCAAATGTGAATCTCACATATCCCCAAACTCTAAAATTTAAAATTGATTCTTGGTTTTTCTTAATTCTATATCACACTAATTTCCATAATTAAATGCACCACAAATAACTTGACTTCTAATTCATAAAAAGGGAAAGCAATCAAGGATTGGACAGGATATGGTTTCTGGGAAATAATGTAAAGAAAGATTTAAGGAAAGTATTCAGACATTAATTCACTGAGATTTGTTCAATGTCTTAAAATCAATCTGTCAATTGGAGATCATGGAGCAATTAATGGCATGAATTTCAATCGATTCAGAGGCTATAAATCTCTTCATTTTTATCTCGATTCTACATCAAAAGCATAAACAGTTTTGAATCAATCGGAATGATGAAGAAATCGATTTTACTAACCAATTTAATCTCTGCTTTGCTTGTTCTTGTTGCTGCTCAAGTCCATGGGTTTGAGCCCTTCGATTTTGAATCTGAATTCCCACGGGATTTTGAAGCTTCCAAATTTACTTCTGAACCCCAATATTTTCCCGAAACAAATTTTGATGAACCTTCTTTGCTTTCACAATCTGAGTTTCCTTGGGATTTTCAAGAAACCCAATTTTCTGGATCCGAACGTCCTTACGATTCATCAGAAATCCTAAATTTTCCCGAGAAAACTTCTCCGTTTTCCGATAATGAATTTCCCAAAGAATTTGAATACCCCGAAGAGTCTTTCGAATATGGAACAGATGCACGCCGTAAAATCAAATCACCTCCCCCATCTCCTTCTCCACCGCCATCAGAAACACTACCTCCGTCGCCGTCGCCGTCAGTTCCAGAAGACACATGTGTTCACAAGTGCGGGCAGAAATGCCTCAAGGAATTCTTTCCCCCCCTTCGCAAAATATGCCTCAAATTCTGCAAGAAGAAATGTTTGCTCAGTCACTCAGTTCTGATCTACAAATGCACCAGTCGTTGTGCAGAAACCATGCCCAGAATCTTCAGATCCGGTAAAGAACATTGTTTATTCAGAATCGATTTTCATTTTTTTATAAGAAAACTAATCTTTTTGCTTTGCTTTTTTTTCTTGCAGACTTGAAGAAAGCAGGTGGATATGTCGAATACTGCTACAAGAACTGCATTGCGAAATTCTAATATCTTTATAAATACTAATATATTCTGGGTGGAAGAAATAAATCATCATTTTGAAGAGTAAATCAGATCACAAATTCATATTTGTATATCGAAATTCATACATTTTAAGTTGTATTTCCGAATTTTTTATCTGAAAAATAAAACTGATTTGAATTATTGATATCTTAGTCTATAAATAACACGAATGTTTATATTAGCTCATATTGTATGAATCTTCGATATGGATATCAGTTTATTTGGTATGGATATTAAACTTACGGTGTATTGATACCAAATGATTAATATTGATACCAAATCCCAAAAAATCTAAAATTTTATTTAAAAAATGAACAATATCGATACTAGTTAATATTAATAATTAAACCTACAAAATTCAGTTTCTTAATGGAAATATCATCTAAACCCCTCCCAAACTTATAATTAAGGCCCTGGATGATAGTTGAAGCTTGTGAGCAGGGATGACATACGAGTATAATTTTATGTGAAATTGGAGCGGGGATGGGTATAAGTTTAATGGGTAGTGGGCAGGTGTGGGTGTAAGAAATCATACTTGTCATGAGCACTAGGTAGGTGATGGGTTTGAGACCTTATATGTCCTGTGCCCGCCCACTAACTACTCACCATATAAATTTTGGATCATTATGAATTTAGGTATAATTTTAGAAATTATTTTGTAAATCGTAAGATTTTTATAGGACATGACTTGTAATATGTGAGGTTACTGCCATACAGGTATGGGTGGATACGAGATGTGTTGTGAGTATCCAATTGAGTAGTGTTTGTGGGATGAATTTTAGAATGTAGCTGCATGGGTGGGTTTGGATTTAAAAAAATTTCCCGTCGTTACTGGTGAGTAAGTGGTGAACACGAAAATAATAGGTGGGTATGGAGATGGGAAAAGGTATTTGCTCCCACAGTGAAGATCTAGATTTTTTTTGAGAGTTGACACACATATATTAATAATATAAATTTTTTATATCTAGGTGAACACGATAAAATTTTAGCGTGGACGCTATGAAATTTTAAGGTAGACACACATATATTAATAAAAAAATTAAATTTTAAAGAATAAAATTCGAATTTGAGGAAATGAGAGCTTTAAGGGTTCAAAACCTTTCGAAAATCTTCCACCAAGCTTATCCTCGAAAATGGAGTTCAAAAGATACTTTCTAAATTTGAACATAGTCTTACCTTGATGTATAGAGCGAAAATGGTGGTCAAGATAGAACCTTTGAATGATGAAACTTGTTAGAGAAGATGGAGAATAATAGAGGAGGAGATAAATGAGAGAAAGGGAAAAGGTTCTATCATGAAATGATGGAAAATTAAATTGTATTACCCAAAGGTCGAGTTCATTCATTGTCAGGGATAATTCGTTATCCCAACCAAATATTTTGGATTCAGTTCGTCTCAGTACATGCGATTACACAATCAGTCTTCTCAATGAGAAGTTAATCAATTAAAACAACAGTTGACTGAATTGGATGAAAATTTTACTCAAATGAAAGCCGATGTTGAAGTTAGAGAAGCATGGAAAGAAACGAAAGAAGCAAAGAGAGAAGCAGTATATCAGAAAAAAATATGAAGAACTTTAAAATCAACTTGAAGGTATGAAGCAGATGATGCAGTAGAACAAAGCGCAGAATTCACCATCCTATGTGATTGTTTAGAGTCATGCTTTGTTTATTATAATGAACAATGTTGACCTACATTTCATTTCGCTTTGATGCTTGTAAACTTTGATTTATTATTGTTTTAAAATATTTTTATTTAATTCGAATTGTAGTTAAATTTCTAGGATTTTATTATTGAATATTGTTACAGGTTAAATTTGGGTAATACAAAGTAGGAAAATGCATTTGGAAATCAGTTTTAACTAGCAATGTTTTAGGATGAAAAATGCCACTAATGGAATATACATTCGCGGCATTTGTGAGGACCAATGTCACTATATACATAGTAATTAGTGGCTTTTGAAGCAAAAAATGCCACTAGATATCACAAAATATAGCGGTGTTTAGGAGAACAAACACCACTAAATAAAGGTAATTTGCATCATTAGACCATAAACGCCACTATATATCATGACAATTAGTTGCGTTTATATCCAAAATGTCGCTAAGTAACCTAATCTTTTGTGGCGTTTAGTATCCACAAACACCACTATATATCATGACAATTAGCGGCGTTTGTTTCTAAAACGCCGCTATATAACCTAACATTTTGCGGCGTTTTTTTAACATAAAACTCCGCTAACAGTTGCGACACTTGTTCTTGCGTATTACGTTGGGAGGGCTTTTAGCGGCACTTTAAAATGCCGCTATAGACCTGTTCTGTTGTTGGCCATTCACCAATTACATGTGGTGATCTTATGTTGGGTGATGCACCCTACTAGAAAACATGCTTGGTTCTCACTATGTTTCTCCTATAGATGCTAAGGGGATATTGCACTGTCCCATCTCTCTGGTATATTCTGACGTACTTATTTGGAGCGGTCATTCCTCCGGCTCTTATTCGGTTCGAAACGGGTACAAATGGCTTAAATACGAGAGCACACCTCAAGTCCGACTGTTCGGGTGGCGAGCAGTGCATGAACCAGTTCCCAGTTTTGGCGCATGACTTGAGCATATAATGGATTCGTTCAATGTGGTCAGACTCACAGCTTTCCGGGATCTTCTTTGTAGGTTCATTTCTAATGTAATAGCTTATGAAGCTAAGTTCGGTTAAAATGGAGGAATGGCTAAAATTTTATAAAAAAAAATCATAGATTTGGTAACTCATTCATAAAAAAGGAAGCAATCAAGGATTGGATAGGATATGATTTCTGGGATATCATGTAGAGATAGATTTAAGGAAAGTATTGAGATATTAATTCACTGAGATTTGTTCAATCTCTTAAAATCAACCTGTCAATTAGAGATCATGGAGCAATTAATGGCATGAATTTCAATCGATTCAAAGGCTATAAATCTCCTCATTTTTTTATCTCGATCCTACATCAAAAGCTTAAACAGTTTTGAATCAATCGCAACAATGAAGAAATCAATTTTACTAACAAATTTAGTCTCTGCTATGCTTGTTCTTGTTTTTTTTTTTTTTGTAAAAATGTTACTTCGTATTTGAATTCACAAAATACAAAGTACACCCCAAAGGCCTCATTAAAAAAACCCCTAAATCCATATGGGGGAAAAGAGTGAATCTTGGGGTGGACTAGAATATACAGACGAGACCTATTTTCTCAATAAACAAGCCGTAATCTACGGCACTTAAACAACCCCTTGAATGATATACAAAAGAGTACACACACCCTTACAATGACAAACCCTGAAGGAGCCTCCAAACCAAAGAACAAATCAGCAAGGTTCTAACAAGGAAACTGGACACAATACCACTGTTCCAAAGAACGAAACACCAAACAAGGATGCTAAAACAGCAAAAAGGTGGATGAACAAACAAGGAACACGACGCTAATACATAAGAAAAACAAATGAAGTTAGAAACCAGCTAACACCATGCAGACGATTAGCAACCACAGATGGGAAGGCACTCGGCAGAATTGGCAGCATAAACCCACCGAATAGAAATAAAATGTCGCCAGAGATGTCAGCCCGGACTAACGAACCCGAGCATCAGCACAAAGCAATCCAATTCAATGACCAAAATCTTCATGAGGAGCCGTCAATACAGCATCTTGAAAACAACTTCCAAAACAAGGACCAGAAAGACAACACTGATACAAACGAACAGCAGGAAACTATCACAATACAGCAGCATCATCCAAGAACAAGTTTCGGAAAACAGAAAACTGGGAGCCTGTCAAACAGCACCGAGGATCTCCATTACCTTACACCATTAACGATCGCTTCTGGATTACGAACGAAATCAGTCACCACTGGAATTAACCTCGGCCACTGGTAATGAACCCAAACCCCTATCTACAGCAACGCGTGATTGAAGATTTGGTCAGCCGAATACGAGTAGCCTTTAAATCTAGATTTGTTTCTATGAATCCAAATTATCCAAATGAAACCAAAAATCCCGATGCGCCAAATCCCCCTCACTCTTTGCCTAATTTTCTGAGCAAACCAGACCTCTAACAATTGCTTGACATTCATAGGAAACACTAAGTTAACATTCCACACACTGCACCATCGTTGCCAAGCTCTCCACACAACAGCGTAAAGACAAAGAACGTGGTTAACCGCTTCCGGCTCAAGATTGCAAAACAAACACAAACACCGATCATTACAAATAATACCTCTTTTCACCAGCTCAAGCATAACCGGCAGTCTAAGGTGCACTGCTCTCCACACAAAGGCGGAAACTTTAGGCGGAACAAATTTATACCAAACCAGTCCCCAAACTGGATCAGCCAAAGTGCCTTGGGAAGCCACTATAGAACAGAATGCTTTAGGAATATATTGACCATCCTGTGTTCCAGACCAAATTACTGAGTCAGGACATTGATGCACACTAACCGCTCTATTCAGAACAAGTCTAAACTCATTCCATAATGGAATTTCCCATTCGAATAATCTTCTTCTGAGATCAATTCTCCAAGCCCATCTACCCTGAATCCAACATCCAAAATCCTTGATCTTTCCGCATTTTTTAACTGCTATACTATAGATTCTTGGAAAAGAGATTTTTAGGGAGGTTTTTTCTATCCAAAAATCTGACCAGAAATCAATCTTATTCCTGTTGCCCATAACACATCTAAAATCCGAGAGAAAGGCAAAGTCCCCCGACCCATTTGGATTGACAATATTGCGCCATACCCAAGAATATTTTCAACAACTATCTGCTTTAGGAACTGTCTTCTTGATCATAATTATACTTGGCTACTACGATCTTCCTCCATAAGCTATCCTCCTCCATACTGAACCTCCAAATCCATTTGTTAAACAAGGAACGATTTCTAGTTTTAACATCGAAAATACCTGATTTCGGTCTACACAAATATTCCCACTTAATCCAATGGATACACCTATCCGACTTGCCATTCCAGACAAAATTCGCTATGCATCTATTAATCTTGTCCGCAATAGACTTAAGCAAAGAGAAAATGGACATGTAATAAACAGGCAGATTAACGAGTACAGATTGAATAAGAGTTAACCTCCCACCAAATGAAAACAATTTACCTTTCCAACTTTGTAGCTGGCTTGTTACTTTGTCTAAGATGGGATTCCATAGAGACAAAGAATTCTTCTTGTGGCCACGAGGCAACCCCAAATAAGTCGATGGAAGCTCAGCCAAACCACAAAGAATCGAATCTACCCAGATTCTCACTCTACTTTCTTCCACATTGAAGCCAAATATCTTAGTTTCTCCCATGTTCAACTTCAACCCAGCAGCCACTTCAAATATTTTTAGTACCCGTTTAAAATTCAAAATTGACAAAGGATTTGGAGCAGAAAAAATCAGCAAGTCGTCAGCAAATTGGATATGAGATAAAATAAAGCCCCCAACCCCAACTTCCACTCCACAACAAAGCCCCAAATCCGACGCCTTCTTTATCAAGCCACTTAGCGCCTCACCTACAATGTTAAAAAGTAGCGGCGAAAGCGGGCAACCTTGTCTAAGGCCTCTCTTGATTGAAAAACTACTTGACGGGCAGCCATTAACCAGGACAGCGATAGAAGGGGTAGAAATAAAACAGCGAACCCAATTTCTTCATCTTTTGCCGAACCCCATTTTCTTAAGAATCAAGTTTAAGAACTGCCAATCAACCGTATCATAAGCTTAGGGATGGCAAAAAAACCCGAACCCGACGGGGAAAATCGAAAACCGAATTAAACGGGTCGAGTTCGGGGATGATAAACGGGGACGGGGACGGGAAAACCCATTTATTTTAAACGGGGACAGGGACGGGGACGGATTTGGTAATCCCCGCCCCGATTACCCGCCCCGATACCCGACCCGATAAATATTAAAAATAATTATATATATATATATATATATATATATATATAATATTAATAAATTTAATTTAAATAAAAAATATATATTTATATATTTAATTTAAATATATATATATATACCCGGCCCGATTCTCGACCCAATACCCGACCCAATACCCGGCCCAATACCCGTTTAAATAACCGTTTATGCTAAACGAGGATACCCGTTTCCCCGCGGTTTTCCCCGATTACCCGACGGGGATCCCCGTTTAAATCCCCGCGATTTTTTAAACGGGGACGGGTACCGGTTTTTTAAATGGGGACGGGTACCGGTTTTTTAAACGGGGACGAGGACGGGGGGACCAATACCCGGCTCGAACCCGGCCCGTTGCCATCCCTACATAAGCTCTACTAAAATCAGCCTTAATCAGCACTCCTTCTTTCTTACTTTTCAACAGTCCGTCAATTACTTCATTAGCAATTAGACTATAGTCGGCAATTAGCTTTCCACGAATGAAAGCGAATTGATTTTCTTCAATCACGTCAATGATGCAACTACCCAACCTCCTCGCCAAAACGCGAGAAATGATCTTATACAAACTGCCCACCAAGGAAATTGGTCTGAAATCATCAGGAGAAATGGCTTCAGCTTTCTTCGGGATAAGCGCAATGAAAGATTTGTTAAAGGAGAGATCTTCTACTTTGCCCCAATAGAAATCCTCCATAAACTTCATAACTTCTCCTTTAATATATTGCCAAAATTTCTTAAAAAAATCCAAACTGAAGCCGTCAGGACCTGGCGCCCTTGTGTCGTCAGAAGACTTTATGGCATGCCAAACTTCATCTTCCGAAAATGGACACTCAATGAACCTTCTGGTAACAGCGGTTAATCTCTTTAGTGGGACGTCGAATTTCTTGAGAGGAATAGTGTTCACCAAATTATAACCAGCAGAGAAATAATTAACAAACGCATGTTTAATACCAGCCTGATTTTTGAATAGCGAATTCTGAAATTTCAGTTTTGAAATCTAGTTCTTACGACCTCTAGCAACAGCTGAAAGATGGAAAAATTTAGTATTTTTATCACGTTCTTTGAACCACCTAAGCCTTGATTTTTAAAGCCAATCTCGTTCATCCTTCCTCACTACAGCCCACAATCTCGCTTTCAACGTGGACAGCTCCAACTGAAAATGGGGATTGCATGGATCCGACAACCAACTATCTTCTAACGCTTCAATCCTTTTACCAAGCTCTTCCGCTGACTCAGGATTCAGCTCTCTAAATTCCAACTCTCTATCCTTTGTCAAATTCTTGGCCAACAATAACAGATTATTGATCCCTATACCTTTATTAACCACGCATAAGTCATTAATTCTTTTCACCAAAATAGAGTCATACGCCCAAGAATTGAACCATTTGAAAGGTCTGGAAACCTTATTTGATCTTTTTTCTTTAAGAACAATTGGCTTGTGGTAAGATAATCCCCTGGGCAGAGAAAATTGTACCAATTGAGGCAACATGTTGTAAATTTCAGTAGAAATCAAGAATCTGTCAAGTCTGCTTGCTATTGCATTCCCGCCACCCCTGAACCAAGTAAACGAACTGCCTATGTTAGGCACCTCAACCAGATCGCAAGCAAAAATAAATTCTTCAAAAATCCTCGATGCAGACGCATAATCATGGGCACCTATTCTTTCAGATTGCCATCTAACAGAATTAAAGTCACCTCCTACTATCACCGGAATACACCAACTAGAGATGATAGACTTCAATGTCTCAAAGAACTCTCTACGTTCTCCTTGCGAATTCGGACCGTAAACATTAATAACACCTATTTCCTTGTTTGCTGAAACAAGTTTCCCTTTAATAGCTATGAATCTCCTCTGAATTAGCGAACAACTAACCTCTAGCAATTTTCTGTCCCAAAGAGAAACCAACCCACCCGAAGCCCCTTCAGCAGGCGCAAACACAAAATCCATTATTTTCTATTCAACCTTCTCAACAGAGTTCCGTTCAACTCAGATACCTTCAACTCCTGGAGCAATATTAAATTCGCCTTGCTTGATTCGATCACCCTTTGAACTTCTCTAATTTTTTCCGATTTTCTTAGACCCCTTACATTCCATGATAAAAACGATAAACTGGATATCATGAAGAAGAAACACCCACAAGAAACGGCACAGATAGTAAGCAGCAAAGAGCCACACTAACCCAATTTATCGATCTCTTCCAATCTCTTCAGCACATCCCTTCTCGGACCCGAGAAATCCACCCCCAAAACTTCTGCAACAGCTAAAGTATTCACTGCTTCTATATTTTCGTTCTCTTTGCCCGTCCCATGCTCTCCTTCAATGGAGCATTTTTGCTTCCTTCTTCTACTAGAAGTCTGACTTTTAGCACGACCGTTTGCGCCTTATCTTCTTGCTCAGACTATTATGGGCTTTAGGACTACACCGATTCGCCCCAATCGGAACTGAATTTGGAACAATATCATGTAAGGCATTTGAAGAATCACCTCCTTAGGGAAATCCCATCACTGAGTTCACGATTTACAGCAGAAACCGCCTCCTCCATCCGTCTAAATGATGACACCTCGTCAACCTGAACCTCTAAGAGCTTTGAACTATTGGAAATCGAATAGATCGGCCAAAATGAATCAGCATCCCTATTGATTGGTATGAGCCCCACACTGTCATCAAAAGCACGCTGTTCGGCTGGCCGAATATTAAAATCAATGGGAACATCATACAACCCACCATCCGAGACACCCAAACTTACCACGTTATTTTGTGCATGTGCCAACCCACCAACCAAGGAAACATTATAATATTCATTCCTCTGACTAGCCAACACGTCCTTCTCCCGCCCATACTCACTTCTCTGACTAACCAAGACATCCTGCTCACGCCCATACTTACATCCCTTGGAAAATACACCAACAGCACGTTCCTCCTGAAAAGAAGGGAGACTTGTTTCACCTTCGATTACCGCACACCCATCACCACCCCCCGCCATGAAACCATCAATGAAAGTTCTCGGCTCTTCCTGCGCTTTAGTAAGAATTTTAATGGAGTGAAGGCAACCTTTGAATATGATAGAGATATTTGCTGGTATGGAAGATTCAGATCGCACTTCCAACAACAATCTAGCTACATCAAACCCATCACGATCAGTCGTTTCTTTATCGATCAGAAGGACTTTTCCCCACAAACTTCCAATGTCATTAAAAAACTTCTCACTCCAAATGGAAAGGGGAACATCCATCAAAGAGACCCAGACTTTGAACTTGACTCTATTCTCATAGCCTTCTAATAGCTCCAACTCATCAAACCATACGCTGATCCATTTTTCTCTAGAACCAGCATGCCTGACGATCGTTTTCGTTACTGAATTGGAGAATCACCAACAAATCGTGCCAGATGCTGACCTTCACGTCAAATCCATCAGCTTTTAATGTTGTTTGTATAATATTATCATTATACATGTTTTTAATTTTACCAACCAAACATATTTTCCTCCACAATAACTCCTTCTTTGGAATAGAAATATTCCTATTAGCGACCTCATTAGTTGATGAAGACCTGGCATCTCTGTCATCTGCAATATTAACATGTACTACATCAACATCACCTCCAATGAACCCATCTTGAAGACTTCAAACTTCACACCTGGCTTCTCACTACCACCATGAACACCTCGAAGAACTTCTTTGAAGGTCCTAGCATCCCTATAAGCTGGTTTCCAAGCCTTTTTAACACTTCTATCATCATCAGCTCTCTTCCTTTGACTGCCATTCATTTTGTCGTGAAACACTCTAATCTTAAAACCATCCATCACCCTACCGTCCCTCTAAGAACGGCCTTATTTTGCGTGGTGGTTAGTGTGCTTACACTCCAAGCGTATGGACGTGGATTCGAGGAATCTTATACGTAAAAAAAAAATTAAAATTTGATTTCATCAATCAAAGAGTAACATGTGTTATTTTTTTTAGTGGTAATTAAATATTAATAATAATATTTCTAAATTTTTTATAAAAATCTGACGTGACAGTATTACATCATTATCTATCATGATTTGAACATGTCACATCAACATATTTCTCCACATATTCATGCTTAGTTAGTTATAGACTTTGATCGTCAATTGATTAATGATTTCCATCTAACGAGAGTATTTTTTATTCAAAATGAAACGTTGTGGGATCAAATGTTTCAAAAAAAGAATACGAGTAAAATTGACTACACTGTCAATCATTAAGGGTATTTTGTTATATTATGCCTTCTTTAATTGTAATTCCCCTGAAGTTACTTTTATATTTAAGAAGATAATTCAATTTCTTCATGGGAATCTCATCTAAAACCCTCCCAAACTTATAATGAAGGCCCTGGGATGGTAGTTAAAGCTTGTGATCAAGATGGTAAACGAGTATAATTTCGTGAATTTTATATCTCACCCGTTCCAATTGGGACGGAGATGTGTATAAGTTTAATGGGTGGTAGACAAATGTAGGCGTAAAAAGTCATACACGTCGTGGATAGAGGGTAGGTGATAGGTTTGAAACTTTACCCACTCGTATCCGCCCGTTCACTAACTACCCATCATATAAATTTTGGGTCATTATAAATATACTACTCCGTAAATCTTAAGATTTTATAGAACATGACTTGTAATTTAACTAAATGAAGATGTTTGTTTTTTGTTTTGTTGTTTATACAATTTGTGAGGTTGTTGTTAAGCGGGTATAGGTTGATATTGGTGGTCGAGATGAGTTGTAGGTGTCAAATTGGATAGTGGATGTAGGGGTAGATTTGAAATTTTAGGCTGTAGTTTAAAAATTTTATTCTGATAGTGAATACGAAAATGGAGATAGAAAAAGGGTATCCACACACGTTGTCATCCCTACCTGTGATAATCAACCTCAAATGAGAGCTTTAAGGGTTCAAAGCCCTTCTAAAATCTTCCACCAAGCTTACCCTCGAAAATGAAGTTCAAAAGATACTTTCTAAATTTGAACAGTCTTACCTTGAAAATTTTTGAAGGTATTTAGTCCATCTTCCATTGCTCCCAAATAAAAAAAATCCATTTTTTTTTATCTTTTATAGGCTCAATTGATGGGCATGGATCGGGTTGGATTTTTGATCCACCCGACCCGAGAACAATGAATCCTCCATTCGAGATCCGACTCGACCTGACCAAAACAGATTTCACTCGACATGAACTCGACCCGATATATAACTTTAAAACCCGACCCGACCCGAAATAATAAAAAATATTATTTTTATTCAATAAAAACAGTGACTTAATTAAAAATAATAATATATAGACGAGTATTATTGTAATTATTCCTAAATATATAAGGTAAAATTATATATTTTTTCAGATAGAGTCGGGTATTTTTCACCTTAAACTCGAATCCGACCTGACTCGAACCCGATTTTTTATATAAAAAACCCGACCCGATCAGGTCGGGTTTGGGTCTCATGCCCAAACCTAAGTGTAAATATGAACCATAGAACCTTAACAGTTAACACTATAATTAATCAATTTAACTAAATTTCAGGTCAATGCTCAAACGTTGACTTGAAATTTTAACTGTTACAGTGTTCCCATGCACAGCGAAAGCTGGGGGGCACCACTCCAATTCAACTTTCCTCCGTCTACGACGATAATGATCATTCACCAATTACATGTGGTAATCTAATGTTGGGTGATGTCCCCCACTGGAATACAGGTTTGGTTCTCACTACGTTTCTCCTATGGATGCTCAGGCGATATTGCACTTTCCCATATCTTCCGACGTACTTATTTGGAGCGGTCATTCCTCCTGCTCTTATTCGGTTCAAAAGGGGTACAAATGACTTATAAGAGAGCACATGGTGTCTCCTTGCTACCGGTGAAGCGTTACAGGCTGCTTATCATGTTGTCACCGCTTCGGCCTCCGTCGATTATCCACTATCTTCCTTGGCGTTCCACACTTGTCACTGGATGAAACCTCCTTCGGGGCACCCTAAAGGTTAATGTTGATGGGGCATGTCCGAGGCTCCCTGACTCTCCGGTCGTCGGGATCATTGTGCGTGACAGTGTTGCCCTGTGTATCGGGAAGCTAACTTTAGAAAAATTCTAATATTTGGTAACTCGTTCATAATAAAAAGGAAGCACTCAAGGATTGGATAGTACATTATTTCTGGGAAATAATGTAGAGATAGATTCAAGGAAAGTATTCAGACATTAATTCACTGAGATTTGTTCAATCTCTTAAAATCAATCTGTCAATTGGAGATCATGGAGCAATTAATGGCATGAATTTCAATCGATTCATAGGCTATAAATCTCTTCATTTTTATCTCGATTCTACATCGAAAGCATAAACAGTTTTGAATCAATCGGAACGATGAAGAAATCAATTTTACTAACCAATTTAGTCTCTGCTTTGCTTGTTCTTGTTGTTTCTCAAGTTCATGGTTTTGAGCCCTTTGATTTCGAATCTGAATTTCCTCTGGATTTTGATGCTTCCAAGTTTTCTTCTGAATCCCAATATTTTCCTCAAACAAATTCTGAAGAACCATCGTTGCTTTCACAATCTGAATTTCCCCAGGATTTTGAAGCTTCCAAATTTTCTTCTGAACCCCAATATTTTCCTCAGTCAAATCCTGAAGAATCTTCGTTGCTTTCACAATCTGAACTTCCTCAGGATTTCAAAGAAACCCAATTTTCTGAATCTGAACGTCCTTATGATTCACTAGAAATCCTAAATTTTCCCGAGAAAACTTCTAGGTTTTCTGATAATGAATTTCCAAAAGAATTCGAATACCCCGAGGAGTCTTTCGAATATGGAACCGATGCACGTCATAAAATCAAATCCCCTCCGCCATCTCCTGCTCCATCGCCATCAGAAACACCATCTCCATCACCATCCCCACCCCCATTAGTTCCAGAAAACACTTGCGTCCACAAGTGTTCGTTGAAATGCCGCAAAGAG